AGGGTGACGCGGGACCCGGTGTCCTAGGGTGAAGCGGGACCCGGTGTCCTAGGGTTAGGGTTAGGGTGAGAGTTAGGGTAACGCAAACTCCGGTGTCCTAGGGTGACGCGGGACCCGGTGTCCTTGGGTGTTTAAAACAAAGAAACACTTGTGGAAAGATAGAAATGGAAGATTAAACAAATTAATAATATGGAAAGAAAATATAAAAGAAGGAGGAAATAAAAAATACCATGAGGAAAGACAGGTGCTAATAAGCAAAATAGAAATGGAAAAGAAAGAGAAATAAAGAATAACATAAGGAAATTAGAAAAAGAAGATAAAAGAAGTTTTAAACAAACAAATACATAAGGTGCGATGGATATAGAAAACCCACGCGAAGCGCGGAAGCTTTGACTTTTCAGAAATTATTAGAAAAAAAAAGATTCATTGTACCATTCTCGACTCTTAATCCTTGTCTGAAATCATTTCCCCCCCCCCCCCCCCCCTCGCGCGAAGCGCGCAAGCTTTGACGTTTCAATAAATTCTTAGAGAAAGAAGACGATTCGTTGTACCATTCTCGACTCTTAATCCTTGTCTGAAAGCAGTTTTCCCCTCTCGCGCGAAGCGCGCAAGCTTTGAACTTTAGTAGTAGTAGTAGTAGTAGTACTACTAGGTACTACTACAGATTCTGGAAATGCCTTGTTTCACTATCATTATAAGTATAACTTATCACTCAGTATCAGCAGTCAAGCTTGCAGTTGAAGTAAATCAACAGCGTTAATATTTTGTAAACCAAAATAACAGAGAAATAACAGAGAAAATGGCAAACATATTATGTAAATAACCCACTTACCAAATGAGGAGAGCAGTCATGAGATAATTCGTTCATATGATTGTATATGAAATAGGATGAATATCGCCTGACCTTTATAGTTAACAAAACGTTTTACATTTGGTCGAGTATAAAACAGTTTCGATTAGTCATTTAGTGCTTAGGATATTTTACTATTAGACAAATATTTTACTGGTACAAGCGAAACTTTCCGTTTATAAAAGTATATAAACATAATTATGTGTGATGGTTGTATCTATGTTTATCAGAGGCGGCGCTCCCGGGAGGGGGGCACAGTGCCCCCCCCCCCCCACTTTATCAAGTTCTCCAAAAGTGCCCCTTTTAAAACAGGAAAAGTGCCCTTTTAACTTTGTAAGAATTAAGTGCCCCTTTTACTTGGAAAAGTGCCCCTATTAATTTTTAAAAGTGCCCCCTCTTCTTTACACGTACCCCTTTTCGTTCGACAAGTTCCCATTTTATTTTGCAATAAGTGTTCATTTTCCATTTAAGTGCCCTTTATAATCTGTAATAATTTAAGTGCCCCTTTTCAGATACGACAAGCGCCCCTTTTCACCTCTGATAATTGCCCTATTCAAATCTGATAGCGTACCTTATATCTTCACATGTGCGCCCTTTCCTTTCTAATAAGCGCCCCCATTTAAAAAAGAGCCCCTTCCCTTTCTCATAAATGCCCTTTTTCATCTATGAAAACAGTCTCCTTTTCATCTATGAAAACAGTCTCCTTTTCATCTATGAAAACAGTCTCCTTTTCATCTATGAAAACAGTCTCCTTTTCATTTATGAAAACGGTCTCTTTTCATTCTCATAAGCCCTATTCCAAGACGATGGCGATTTAAATTCAAGTCTCTCAACTATGGCTCGTTGGCACGTTGGCACGTTGGCACGTTGGCGATATAAATTCAAGTCTCTCAACTCATGTTGGCTCGTTGGCACGTTGGCGATTTAACTTCAAGTCTCTCGGCTTGTTGGCACGTTGGCACGTTGGCGATATAAATTCACGTCTCTCAACTCATGTTGGCTCGTTGGCACGTTGGCACGTTGGCGATTTAACTTCAAGTCTCTCAACTCATGTTGGCTCGTTGGCACGTTGGCACGTTGGCGATATAAATTCAAGTCTCTCAACTCATGTTGGCTCGTTGGCACGTTGGCACGTTGGCGATATAAATTCAAGTCTCTCAACTATGGCTCGCTGGCTCGTTGGCACGTTGGCACGTTGGCGATTTAACTTCAAGTCTCTCAACTCATGTTGGCTCGTTGGCACGTTGGCGATATATATTCAAGACTCTCAACTCATGTTGGCTCGTTGGCGATTTAACTTCAAGTCTCTCAACTCATGTTGGCTCGTTGGCACGTTGGCACGTTGGCGATATATATTCAAGTCTCTCAACTCATGTTGGCACGTTGGCACGTTGGCGATATAACTTCAAGACTCTCAACTCATGTTGGCTCGTTGGCACGTTGGCACGTTGGCGATATATATTCAAGTCTCTCAACTCATGTTGGCACGTTGGCACGTTGGCGATATAACTTCAAGACTCTCAACTCATGTTGGCTCGTTGGCACGTTGGCACGTTGGCGATATATATTCAAGTCTCTCAACTTATGTTGGCACGTTGGCACGTTGGCGATATAACTTCAAGACTCTCAACTCATGTTGGCTCGTTGGCACGTTGGCACGTTGGCACGTTGGCGATATCAAATTAAAGACTCTCGACTCATATGTTGGCTCGTTGGCACGTTGGCACGTTGGCGATATAACTTCAAGTCTCTCAACTATGGCTCGCTGGCTCGTTGGCACGTTGGCACGTTGGCGATTTAACTTCAAGTCTCTCAACTCATGTTGGCTCGTTGGCACGTTCGCGGCACGATTGCGATTTCCATTGAAGACTATATCTCGGCACCAAGTTGAAGCGTTGGGTTGGCGGACCAAAAAAAAAACCTTCAATTCGCATGGTGGGGTATTCTAAAGTTGTTCCCCGATTTGTAAATGTGGTGCATCATTAGGAGTAGAAGCGGGACAGCAAACGTTAAAGCCAACTGCTTTGGTTCGTAGTGTGTGGGAAGGGGTGATTTTGGACGAACTTTAGAGTTTGTTTACCTGCCTCGATCTTCGCGCAGGTCTATGGCCAGGCCTCTGGCCGGGCGAGCCGGGCGAGCAGGGCTCGAACATGGCTATGTAGTATGACTATGATAAGGCTTGCGTTTGGTGATATCAACAACAACGATATTAATATCATATTTTACATTATAAGATGATGACGTGAATCCTAATCAAATGATTGGTTGAAAGCGTACATGTGATCAGGCATTTATTTTGCCTAACGCGTAATTTGGATAATGACCGGTCATTATTTAATGGCGATGACCGGTCATTATCAAAATCATGTTAGACCTATAAAATAAATAGACCCTAAAACATAGACCTACCGGTAATCTTATAAAACAAATAATACACATCAAATTGTTCAGGCATTAGTAAAAATTTCCCACACTCTGTACCTTCAAAACAGTCTAAACACCCTCGGCTATCGCCTCGGGCGTGCTAGACTTTTCCACAGGTACCTCGTGCAGGTAATTCTTACTAATGTTAGTTCCCTCACTGCTGTGTATTATTTGTATATTAACAGTATCGGACATCTGAGCAGGGCAATTTTTTTAATTTCCCTCGAGGTTTAATGGATAAGCCAACAAAACTACAGGCAAAAACAAATATTATTAATTTATTATTGACCGCTCAGAAAAGTCAATGACAATGGGATTTTGTGTTTAATTTGCCGGTCAATAATATTATACAGTAAACAAATGAACAAATATTATTGCTGAAAAGTCAATGGCAAAATGCGTGTGAAACTAGTAGGCAATAATGTAGAGCCAATTGTAATTTTCATTGCACATCTATTACGCGTATGGGAAAATGCGCACTTTGAGCGCACTCTATTGTGACATAATATTAATCACCCAAGGCTCACTGTTTGCAGTGTATCAACAAATTTGTCAAGTACTTGATGCACAGTGCTGGTTTGACGATGTTTTTGCAACTTAGTCGGTTACTGTGTTTTACATAATTTAAGAGTATAAGATAGTTTCTTGTTTGCTCTAGATGTCTGATGTGGTTAATAATAGTAATATTGACTGCCTAATTCAGGGCAATACGACTTGTCATATATATGTCGTATTGCCCTGAAGGCAGTCAATAAATAATTAGGCACCAGGGGCCGTTCCTAGAAACCGTCATAAGTCTAACATCTTGACTATCCCATTGAAATGCGTGTTAATTCTACATGTATAACACACATTTCAATGGGATAGTCAAGAAGTTAGACTTATGATGGTTTCTAGGAACGGGACGCAGGTGCAAACAGGGGGATGACCTGGTGCTGGTTATAACTAATATTAGGGCTTTAGGCAAGTGATGAACTGATAGATATTTCAAATTGTTCATATTATTACTTATAGGCTTAGCAGTATGTGCAATGGCCAATGCCCAATAGAAAAGAATACATCTTTCTTGGAACTTGTTTGGAGCATTTGATAATAATGATAATGGCATGCATCTTCACCATGACTTTACTGAGATGTACTAGTACCTGACTATACTGCTTGAAGCAGCTTGATAACCTTGGTATCATGTTTCTTTCTCCTTCCTTTTTCTCCTTCATCTACCATATCATCCCTCTTCCTCGCCTAGCAGCCAAATCAAATGCATCGTGTACAAGTGTTTATTAATGTATTTTAAAGATAAAGTTGAGTTATGGTCATGCGATTGCATTGTGAAAGAAACGGTGTGGAACCGACCAGAAAAGGTTGATCATCTACATGTAGCATATAAGAATGTGTGTGTATTGCAAGGTTCTGGAATCATCAAAATGATAAGAAATTTGGCCAAGTCTTGGTAAAGTTACAAACACTTGCACAGAAAGATGTATATGGGACTACACGAACACGTGGCGTAAAAAACCGGCCCCCCCCCCCGATTTTTACGATGTTACATGCATATTTAGAATATGAAGGCATTTGAAGAGCCATGCTTTTCAGGGAACATGTCTTAACTGATGTTCTTCCACGCTTGCATAATAAGAATGAGTAATGCTCACAAATTATTTTTCACCTCTTCCCAGAACTCAACCTTCTCTTTAAGTAGTTTGATTTTTACTTTTCTCAATCTACAGAAATGAACTGAAAGGCTAATCAATATAACAACAGATTTTCAACACTATGCCAAAAGGTAAGGTATTTCATAAGTGCTTAGATAAAGCGTAAAAATTGTTCTTTTAGTTTTAAGCTCACTTGAATATTTTGATAACTATCATTCATTGTACCTTGTGGGTCATCGGTCGTGCATGAAACAGATTTTTTTTTTAAAACTTTGTAGGGATTATAGTTTCAATGTGGGAGCGAATCTATAATTGTTCATAGATACCTCGCCCTCATGAGGGCTCAGTTGCAGAGCTCTTTCCCATCCCTGTCCTAATCTCATAAAATTGTTTTTTTTCTTCTTTCATTCTACTGGATTTCATGCAAGAAAGGGTAGATCTAGACATAATCCTTAACATTCACAATTACCCAATAAATACAAAAAGGCTGTTTACCTCTCAACTGAACCTAACTGTTGGACTTCAAACCAAAATTTTCAGGAGTTCTCCTCTGGGGTTGTCAGTCTTTCTATCAGTCCATACATCCCAGATATCGTAAATGAAATATCAGGACATATACATGTACAAAGAAAGTTGAGTGAGTACAGATGTTTGTGCCAAATCTTGCAATGGCCTTCCTGTAATTTTCCTACTTGTACGGTACCGGTACGGAGAAGGTTGAAGATACGATAACAAATTATTCCTAGCTGTTGTTGGAGACTTGGAGTACCCGAAGGCTAAAATTTCATGTCAACATTCAGGAAGTTTATTCACATAGGCCCTTTTATTTGGTATAGTTATGGTCTTTAGAATTAAGGTAAACTTTTCTATCTGAAAGGGGGCTCAAAAGGAGAGGGAATAAATATGTAATGGGTTGCTCATAGGTCCATTTCGATAAAACACTAATAAATATAAGAATTCTGCCAATTGTCATTGCTTTTGTAATCTTATTCCCTATAAAAGCACCCTTAAAAAGTGTCACGTGAGTCACAAAAAAACATTAAGCATTTTGAAATTATTAAAGTTTCCGAAAGAGCATCAACAAAATTGTTATGATAGTAATGAAGTTACTGGTTACTCAGCAGATAATCTAGAAATAGCTGTTGGCAGAACAAAAGTACCTTAAAGCCCCACTGCTGTACTTATAGCTACATGCGCCCTCTATATAGCAAACAATGCCTAATCAGTGACCATTGATCCCCCATGATCCTTTTTTTCTCATGATAATTGAGGGCTGAGTTGATGAGATAACCACCTGTCTGTGACCATGCAGGGAGGTCTAATCCCTCCTGGCCAAACTAGTGCAGAGGGGCTTTAAGTGTGTCATGGGAGTCTTGCTGCCTGCACATCATGAGTAAAATAAAGCATCATGTGTTATGAAAATTCAAAATCTGGTGCTAATGGGCACCACTTTATTCATTCCTTAATTTAGTATCAGAGATGAATCACCAATACATCATCCTAAACTTGTAAAAAGACAACTGCAATTACTGGAAGTATTAGCCAAATAGTAAAAATGTTAATGTGTACTTATTGCATCAACTTTGTGTTCTTGAATATACATAGAGTTTGTATGATCAATTCTGATCATCTGACAAGTTGCACTTTACAGTTTCACAAATTCACAGTTTACAGTTTATATTCAACCAAATAGTGAAAACAACAAAATAGAGATTGGAAACGTTGCTTTTCCCCGAACTTATTCAGTTTGAAGAAAAAGTTGAATTTATTACATATTATGCATGTGCGCCTGGCGATGTCTTCTTTGTAAATAACTGTACACACTGTCTTTCTTTTTATTTTCCTTTCCATATACAAAGCCAAGAACAAGTCTTCTGAAAAAGTAGACTGGAGCAAATACTTTCACGAACAGAATGAAAAATTGAAAGCAGATTTGGGCTTGTTCCCGGAAAAGAAGAAGGAAAAGAAGAAGGAAACAATTTGGTACTATCCTCGTAGGAATCCATACACTGGACTCATTCATCACAAAACAAAACCAAGGAAGCGGAGCAGTGGCAAAAAGAAGGTTGCTAGTTCAGGTATCAACTGTTATCCACCTCCACTTTTTATCATTGACAATGATAGGGCCTCCAGGGGGATGTTTCATAAAGCTGTTCGTACACTTATGCATGACTTTACGAACGAGTTAAATATGAAAAGCCAAATGGGATGCTCAATCGTTTTTAACTGCATCAACTAACGTTGAACTGTGCAGATGTAGATTAACATTCTTATCATAACAAACAATTTTTAATGCAAAGTATATTTTTTGCCATAATTTAATTGAGGTTATTAGAAATATAGTCACACTTTGTTAAAACATCAGGAAAAACTTAAGGTATCCTATCTGGCACTTCATATTCAAGTCATTTGTAAAGTCATGCATAACTTTACGATCAGCTTTATGAAACACCCCCTGTTCTATATATCACATCTACATGTACATACAGTTAAATATTTGGAAAGGAATGTGTACTGACTGAAAATACTAAAATAGTGAAATTACTATTTACTAAATTTGTATTCTGATTGTAAGTGATACTGCTTATCCATGCCTGTTGAAGTAAAAAAGAAAGGCAACTTTTTATCCATAAAATATGTAAATATTAAGTCTTCCGATTCATTTTCTTTCTTTTAAGTGTTAGTTTTCATTAATGTGTTATATTAAGTTAAAGAAGTAAAAAAAAAAAAAAAAAAAAAATGTCCATGTTGTAAATACAGGAAGATGAAATGTGCTGAAAATTGTCAAATATTTCAAACTTAATTCTAACACCATAAGAGGATATCTTTATGCATGTGAAAAAAGGAAAAAAATAAGATGCATGTATAATGATGGCTATAGATAGATTAGGTCACAAGGTAAAAAAAGAAAATAAATTCCATGTCAAATGCTACACTTGTAATAATAATAATGATGATAACAATAGAAAGTGATTAAAATATAAAGTACACTTGATTACTATGATTATGATGTGGGGAAGTTCATGAATTCATTTTTCCTTGCAATGGGGGTGGCATTTTCTTCGCAATCACTTTAACAAAACACAACAATTTGAAAAAATGTGTCAAACAAACTACTTCTAAACTTAGGATTGCAATTAAACTTAAAACACTTACTTCTCATGTTGTTCAGAAGCAATATAATTTATGCGTAGGTTGGCAGTGTATTGCCAGGTTAACCACTTCTCTTTATGAAATTGAAAGTTTATGTGGCGAATTGTACTTTCACACTGTTTATGGGATTTCAATGAGAATTGATGTGCAATAGTACATTACATACTTTTTAGGGTAGATTTCCCCTTTACTGAACAGGGAGGGTAATTTCATGGAGGGGGGGGGGGGGTAATTGTCCTTGGTTGTCCTTTGGGAGGGGGGGTGTAATTGTCCTAGGGGGTAATGTTCAGGGGGTTAATTGTCCTTAAGGGTGGTTTTCTTAAATAGATGGAGAAAAAACCTGCTGTTACGGGGCACTAGGTTCCTAAGCTGGGGTATTTTTCCTGAAATGTATACTAAATAATTGTTTGATATTTGATGAGTTCTTTAACCACATGTTCAACCAAATATGATTCCTGCAAACATCATATGAATGGATATTAGGAAACTTTGATATAAGACGGTTTGTGCATATTGCATAAGGTATATTGCCTTATTTAAAAGGGAGGCCAGGTTGCCTATACCCATCCCTTGACCAAGAGCGCCTGGAGACAGCCGGCAGGGTAATAATTTCAGAGGAAATAGTGTTATGCATTGTCATTTACCTCATATGAGTTTAATATACAGGTATATATTGTTTTTTGGGGTTATTTTCAGAGATCACAGAGTCAACGACGGAAGCGGTGACCAAGCCTACGACGACCAAGCCTACGACGACCAAGCCTAAGACAACCAAACCTATGACGACCAAGCCTACGACAACCAAACCTATGATGACCAAGCCTACAACAACCAAACCTATGATGACCAAGCCTACGACGACCAAACCTACGACATCCAAGCCTACGATTACGATGTCTGAACGCTCAGACTCAAAGACTTCCCAACACACCACTACCTCTAGTATGTCTAAGCAGTAGAAACTTTGAAATGACGTCATGCATTTGATCATTATCATAATAGGTCTAGCCATTATAGCCCCCCCCCCCTTCTCTCACTCCCTCTCTCTCTCTCTCTCTCTCTCTCTCTCTCTCTCTTTCTCTCTCTCTCTCTCTCTTTCTCTCTCTCTCTCATTCTTTATCTGACTTTTTTTATTGGTCCTTTCCTATCACAGGCGTCGCTAACATTTTTTTACAAGGGGGCTGTAACACGTTTGGATGAATTATTTTGCACAAAAGAATCTCTTCAAATTTTGCCAAAACACCACTAAATCTACAAATTTGCTGACACAAGTCTTCATGAAAGGAATAAAGTGTTAGAATTTATGTTTTCATGGAGCTATATTTTCTCTGTTTAGGACTTCTAATCCTGTTTGGGTGTCATTCCTTGTCTTATTGTTTGGTAAGTGTGTTTCATGTTTCAGAACACTTTACCCTTAGTTACATCATGATTATTTAACTCAGTTATGTTTGTTAAAACACTTTTCAGAGTCAAGAGAATTATCGACTACGGCCACGACGCCAAAGCCCACAACGAACGCTACGACCATGATGTAGAACAAAACGACATCGCACAGAACCACCATTGTTTCTCTCACTTGCTGAAGTAAGTTAGCTCAAACTTTTCTTTTTGAGGGGGAGGGTACCAATCGTAATACCCTTTTGCCCACAAGTTCAATGACAACAAACACGCCACAGGAATGCATTTAGATAAATTATTTGGAAAAATAGTCCTTTTGACTTTGAAAAAACATTACTAAGTCTAAATGTCCAATTTGGTGACACCAATTATACTTTCTAAAATAAATAAACTGTTGAAATTTATATGTTTAAATGTGGCCCAAGTTTCTTTGTTTTGGCCTTGCATTCCTGTTTAGGTGTCATTCCTGATCCCATTGCTTTGTCGTATGGTTTCATTTGTTACAACCTTGAACCATCAACTATATCATGATCATTTAAGTCTGTAATGTTTGTTAAAATGTTTCAGAGTCAACAGAATTATCGGCTGGGAATGCGATGTCCAATCCCACGACAAGTTCTACGATCACCATGTCAGACACAATGACATCACAAGAAACCACCACCTTCAGTAAGTAAGAGAAACAAGGAAATGATGGCATGGCTTTGATCATAATTATAATGTGTCTAGCCACTTCCCCCTCTGTCTCTTTCTCCCTCTCTCTCCCCCAATCCATCCCCCCCCTCTCTCTCTCTCTCTCTCTCTCTCTCTCTCTTCATCTCTCTCCCCTCCTCCTTCACCCCCCCCCCCCCCATCCATCCCTTTCTCTCTCTCTTCACTCTCTCAATCTTTATCTGATTCTGACTAAGAGAAACAATGCAATAACGTCATGCATTTGATGTTCATTATATTAGGTCTATCCACTACCACTCTCCTGACTCCCTTGACACCCTCTCTCCCTCCCTCCCTCCCGCCTCCTCCCCCTCCCTCTCTTTCATTCATATAGACAAAAATGACTGTAAAAAAATTGTGATGGTGAGCAGAGTTTCTTTAGACATTAATTATCAAAGCTTTAAAAAATATTATGTCTTTGCATCTATTTTTAGTATCATTATTTTTCATTATTATTTTTCTTTTGCGTTATCATCGTCATCAATATCTTTTTTTCTTTCAATATTTCAGTTTCTCGGCTACCCAAATAATCTCTTTGTCGACTTTCTTAAAGTTTAGTCATTTACATATTGTTTTCATCTTTTAGCATGTTCTCTGGTGGAATATGCATACAGCAGGTCGTTCTACAAATCCAGCACTTGCAAGATGAATCAAGTTTATGCGATTTTAGCTTGTTCCCAATTCCATCTGGTCTTCATCGAGCCGCAAGAAGAAAAGGAGTGCCACTGAGGACTACTGGATCGGGTTGACCGGTCCAAGTCTCAGTGAGGCAAGGTGGCTAGATGGATCAAGTCTTACATATAGCAATGTTAAGTCTTCTTTGTTCAGTGACAATGGAAGCTGTTTTCGAATTGTGTTAAGGCTTTAAAATAGTTAGTATGATGAGGAAAAACAAAACATGTTTAACTTTTTTTTTTTTTTTTTTTTTTTTTTTTTTTGGGGGGGGGGGGGTTAGGGGAGAGGTCATAGATAAAATACAGATAAAGGGTGTAGGGGTGTTTGAACATCTAAAGCACCCCCTGTTTCCCAGGGGGTGTTTGAACACCCAAAACATCCCCCTGGATACGCCAATGAATATCTGAGGATACGTGCGCCCTTTTCATCGCAAAAATGGGTATTGGCGCCTATTTTTTTGTTTGGGGGGGAGAGGGAACTGCTTATTTGAAAAACGCTAAATCAATACACAATGAAAATATTGGATAATCGTCTTTTAAAGGCAAAGACCAGTTATGGTCATGCGATTGCATTGTGAAAGAAACGTTGTGGAATCGATCAGAAAAGGTTGATCATCTAGCATCTAGCATCTGCAAGGTTCTGGAATCATCAAAATGATAAGAAATTTGGCCCATTCTTCGTAAAGTTACAAGCACTATACACAGAAAGATGTATATGGGACTACCCTATATCTCTCACAGACCATGAGAGAAACAAATTTACCAAATATATGAATTAGTAGTTGGTTTCCTGGCAAATTTTGTATCATCATGTATTGGTCAAAACATATTCTTTCACATGATTGGTAATGAGAGCTTCCATTTCATTTTTTGAAATTGCGGCGTTTCCAATACTGGTCTTTACCTTTAAAGCTTACAATTTTTTGAAATGTCACTTTTAACACAATGCTGCTTGGTCGTGAATCGTGTGTAGATTAATGCAAACAAAGTATCTTACAAAAAAACATATAACCCCTACTCTATAGAAAGGATGAAATTATTTCTGTACAGCCAATAGTTCGCTCACAATAACTGTTTGTTTTTTGGGCTTTGTGTTTACTGGAGCGAACTTCCCAACAGTTTCTACTACAAAACAATACAAAATTGTATTCATCATAATTATCAATATAATTAATATTATCAGTATTGTTATAATTATAATTATTATTATTATTATCAGTATTGTTATAATTATAATTATTATTATTATTATCAGTTGTAGTAGTAGTATTATTAGTAATATTATTATTGTAATTATTGTTATTTTTATTACTATTAAAGTTATGATAATAATAATACTGATAATAATAATTATGATTAAGATTATTATTATCAGTACTATAATTGTTATGATAATAATAGTAATACTAATAACTACGATTCTTGTTAATCATTATTTGGAGGGGGTATTATAATTTTTATCATTATTGTTGTTAATCATATTTATTAATATTATTATTTTTTTATCATTATCATTTATGCTATCGCTATTTCTTTCCAAACCAATAATAATATTTATAGTAAGTAAAGCTGATGTAAATAGGCAAACTTTATACAATCGGTGTTGCACTATTAAAGGACGATTCATTTTTCTTATTAAAGTCATTAAAATAAGTAAATAAATCACGGTTTGTTTGGCGTGTATTAATATAGTTTCAATACTATAATGTCTATTGTGTTTGGGTGAGTACGAAAAAGAGAGATGCACAGCACATAAGGTCGTGTGGAAAAGACGAATTGAGAGAAGTTTTAATAAAAGAGATGTATAATTCAGTGAGAGAACTCGTAAGGAAGAGATAAAGATTGGGAGAATGTGAGAAGATATTGATTTAAACTGAAAGAAATTTGTCGTGAAAGAGATGTATGGTAGAGTGATAGAATATTGAAAGGAAGACTGAGATAACGATTGTGAGAATATGAGAAGGTGAAAAGGGGACAGAATGGTGAAATAAAAGGGACTGATATCATTTGTAAGAGAGAATAAAAAAGTGAGAGAATGTAAGAAGATAATAAAGTGAGGGATTTTTGCACTTGGGTAGTCAAAAGCGGTAGTTGCCAGGGGCTCAGATAAGACAAAGGTGTAGTCATCCAGATACTTTCAAAAACAAATTAATTCATCATTATTTAAATAAAAATCGCAGAAGTCACTAAAGTTTACTCCTCATTCCTTTTCTGAAAATAAACATTCCAAGCTTTCCAATTAATGACACATTTATCTATTGAGGAAGAAAACGCCCTTTTCCGTTCTTCCTCTTCACTCTTAAAACTGAAATGTTAAATCACCATTTAAAAGGGCCGAGGAGTGACAACTCTTTCAAAATGAACATGCTGGATCCAACCTCTATAGTGTTGGATCCAGCATGTTCAAAGGGTTAATCTACCATTTTGAAAGAGTTGTCACTCCTCGGCCCTTTTAAATGGTGATTTAACATTTCAGTTTTAAGAGTGTTCCTGATCATTCGCTCCTTTGTAGGTTGTGTTACATCGTCTCCGGAGCATTTATCGTAGAACTTTTGCTCTGAGGTTTTTTTAATTTACCTTTATCTTTGATACCGTTTCATCTACCCAAATGATCAGGGGCGGATCTAGGGGGGGGGGGGTACGGCGGTTTACCCCCCCCCCCCTCTTGGGCGGCCTAGCGAGGAAAACAAGGGGGAAGAAGAAAAAAAAGGGGGGGGGGAAGGGTAAAACAGTAAAACGGCGCGATTTTTGCATCCACCACTGGGTCAACCCCCCCCCCCCCCCTTGGCAAAAAGCTAGATCAGCCCCTGATGATTGTGTTCATTGTGCACTTTATGGGTTGCAAATGAACTGTTGGATATCTGTAATCAATTAATTTATCCGTTTCTCATTTTATGCATCTCGTTTTAGACGTTCTTCATCCGTATCTGCTGAATCATCATCTATTGAGTCTATTAAGACTATTATCATCGACAATTTTAGTTACATTATCTTTTTTCATATTTTTCTATTCTTGAAGCCACCATAACATCCTTCGAAAATCCCTCGAAAAATCCCACAAAATCCTTCAACAACATCAACAAACTCCACAACAATCACTTCAAAAAAAGACAATGAAAAGAAAGAAAATCCTTCTGTAACCACGAACTTTATAGCTACAGCAAATGATGATCAGATAATTGACTTTATATGTCAATTGATCCTCTCACTCACAGAGGGCAAAACTCTTAAAGAAATAAATAATTTAGTTCTGGTCGCAGCGAAAAGATCGCTGCAGCAAATAAGTAGTGCTAACAATGTTGATAACGATACTTAAAACATTGATGATACTGTTTTCCATACTACAATGGAATGCACAGGGATTACTAGGGCATGGAAAAGAACTTATAAAGTATTTGAACACACACAAACATTGCTATGATTTGATATGTATACAAGAAACATGGTTTCAGGAAAATAGAGTTCTTCAAATTCCTGAATACACATGTCTCCCAAGAAATAGGGAAAATCAGGCGAGGGGAGGATGTGCGATATACGTTCATAATAAAATCAAGTATGAAGGTCCAATGAATGATGTAAATTTAGAAATGCAGCAAGTAAACATACACGCAGGAAATGAAAAGTTATCAATTGTGAACTTTTATAATCCTTGTAAGAAATTAAATGAATATATTATGAATGTGCTATTAAAAGACGTTAATAAAAATGATAAAGTTATTATAGTAGGCGATTTTAACGCTCATGGTACCATGTGGGGAAGTGACAAAACAGACAAGAATGGACAAGTGATAGAACAATTCGTGAATCATCATAATCTAACTGTTTTGAATGATGGCGAAGGAACCAGACTGGATCCACGAACAGGAAAACTGTCATGCTTGGATTTATGTATAACCACTCCTTCACTGGCATGTAGAAGTACTTGGAGAGTCATGGAAAGCCTTTTTGGAAGTGATCACTTCCCAATAAATATCCAAACAACTTTAGACGGGAAAAGCTCTGAATATAATGATGCTTCAATAAGAAGTGCAGATGATTTTATCTCCTTTAAACATATAAATTTGAAAAAATTTGCTAAGAAATGTGAAGAGATGATTACAAATGATCTCATACTTATAAATAATGATATACAGGAAATATATGATAATTTCATGAAATATTTAAAACTGTGTATAAAAGAAACTGTACCGAAAAGGAGAAATGTCTCTAAAAATCCGGTGCCTTGGTGGACCAAAGAATGTACAGAGAAAATCAAAGAGAGAAATAGAATGTGTAATAAGATGTCACGGAAAATAACTTTTGAAAAGGTAGATGAGTACTTAAAAAAGAAAGCAGAAGCACAGCGTGTGCTCCGCCAAGCAGAACGAAATTACTGGCGAGCATTTTGCACAAAGCTTGATCAGTATATGCCAGAATCTAAGATCTGGGCTTGTATAAAACGGCTGAATGGTGTACTAATAAAAAAAACAAAAAATATGTCAACATTGATTGTAAATAGTAAAGATATTGTCTCCGATCAGGAGAAAGCAAATGCCTTTGGAAATTACTTTCAAAAAATAGGAATAAAAGACAGGGATACTAATAAGGAATTACCGAAGGCACCAAATAATGACATTCATATTTTAAATGTAGATCATGTTATAAATGAACCCTTTTTTATAACAGAATTTGAAAAGGCAGTGCAATCGCGAAAAAAGACTGCCCCAGGAAAAGATAATATACCTTACGTTGTTTATGAAAATCTGCCAAAAGCAAACAAGGAAATCATGCTGAACATTATTAACTTAATATGGAAAACCGGGGAAATTCCAATTCAACTAAAGCATTCTATAATAATCCCTATTCTCAAACATGGAAAAGATCCCAGAAATACATCGTCATATAGACCAATCTCTTTAACATCATGTTTTGCCAAAATAATTGAACGAATGATAAAAGAAAGATTACAATGGTATGTTGAAAAGCATGAATTATTACCCAATTTTTTAAGTGGATTTAGGAAAGGTCGTAGTGTGACGGACAATATTGTACAATTAGAAAATGACATCCAAAAGAGTATAAATTGTAATGAACATGTAATAGCGGTTTTCTTGGATGTCGAAAAGGCTTTCGATACAGTTTGGATAAAGGGTCTGGTTTTTAAATTAGCAAAAAATGGAATAGAAGGGAACATGCTGAGATATATAGAAAATTATCTAACAGCACGAACTTTTCAAGTACGAATTGGAAATACAGAATCTAAAACTTATAAAACGCATAACGGGTTACCACAAGGGAGTGTTTTAAGTCCTCTTTTATATAATATAATGATGGGTGATATACCTACAGACCAAGATGTAAGCATATCTATGTATGCAGATGACTGCGCAATATGGATATCAGGCAGGAACATTGTACATATTACTGAAAAAATACAGAAATATTTGAATCTTTTAAATCGTTGGTTTGAAGAGTGGGGGTTTCGACTCTCACCTGTCAAAACAGTGCCCGTACTTTTTACGAAAAGCTGGAATACCGTTCTACCGCCTGATATAGAACTGAATGGAAATGTGTTAATGTACGAAAAATCTCATCGCTTTTTAGGGGTTATATTTGATAAAAGGTTAACTTGGCAACCACATATCGAAAATGTAATCACGAGAAGTAAAAGAAAATTAAATATCTTAAGATGTCTAACTGGAACAAACTGGGGAAGTTCCTCGAAATCACTTATCATGGTGTACAGAGCAATTATAAGGTCTCTTTTTGATTACGGATGTGAGGCGTATGACAGTGCAGCTGCTACCACCAAAAAAGCCATTGACTCTGTCCAATACCAAGCACTGAGGATATGCGCAGGTGGGCTGCCATTAACCTCCTTAGAATCACTACAGGTGGAAATGGGGGAAATGCCTTTGGATATAAGAAGACAAATGCTTTCAAGTAAATATAGACAAAACATCGAAAGATGGGCGAATCATCCGTTGTTAAAAAACATTGAACCATGTTGGCATTTTGAATACTTGAAGGGGAAAAACGTAAACAAACCTTTTGGATATAGAATACAAAGCAAGCTGGGAAAACGTATAGAAACGATAACCTACTCCCCATTTCCACCATGGTTATTCTACCCTCCGGCAGTGTCAACGGAATTAAGTACTCGAATAAAGAAAACAGATCATCCTACACAACAAAAACAAAGCAGCCTGGAAATCATACATACTAAATGGGCGACTCAATTACATATATACACCGATGGATCAAAAGTACCTGAAAGAGGGACCTCTGCAGCTGCTTTTTACGTCCCTTACTATTCTGTACATCGGAGCAAAAGGTTAGCAAATTTCACCTCTTCGTACAGGGCTGAATTGGCTGCCATCATTCTTGCTCTCAGATGGGTAGATGAATTAGACATTTATGTGGGGGTTGTTATTTTTAGTGATTCACTGAGTGCACTTATTGCATTACAACAACAGAAGGACGAATCTTTTATTCTGGAAATTCTCACCATGACTACTCACTTAAAGAATAAAGGAGTTGATATATATGTAGAGTGGATACCTGGACATTGTGGAATAAAAGGGAACGAGATGGCGGATTTCCACGCAAAGGCCGCATTAGTAAAGAAAATAGAAGTCAATAATAACCTAAATATGTCAGAAATGAAAAGCTTAATTACTACAAGTTCCAAACTCCTTTGGCAAGAAAGGTGGAACAAAACCAACTCGTATTTGAAAACATATCAAAAAGATGTTAATAAACCATTTATATGCTCATTAGAGAGACAACATTCAACAATAATACATCGACTCCGCTTTGGAGTCCTTGGACTTAACCAGGATCTCCTCAGATTGGGAATTCATGCTACTGGTTTCTGTAATAGATGCCCCAGTGAAATAGAGACTGTAAAACATTTTTTAGTACATTGCCCTAACTATATTATAGAAAGGGCTATGTTTCTAACAGAAATTAACGAATCCCAACCTGAAAAAATTATGGAATACTTAAAAAAGAGTGAGTCCAGTATACAAAAAGCTATTGTACGGTTCTTTCTCAGAACGAAACGGTTCCCTATCAGGAAGTAATACCTCCCTTGATGAACAGTAAAATATAATACAATATTATAAATATGCTAAATTACACTCAGTACATTAAAAATATAATAACATAATGTAATAAGAAAATAAAAAAAGAACAGTAAAACATAATACAATATTATAAATATGTTAAATTACACTCAGTACATTAAAAATATAATAACATAATGTAATAAGAAAATAAAATAAGAATAGTAAAACATTATACAATATTATAATATGCTAAATTACACTCAGTACATTAAAAATATAATAACAATCATAATGTAATAAGAAAATAAAATAAGAACAGTAAAACATAATACGATATTATAAATATGTTAAATTACACTCAGTACATTAAAAATATAATAACATAATGTATTAAGAAAATAAAATAAGAAAAAGTAACAACAATGATAAAAGGTATGATAAGATTACTGAATATAGAAGCTTGTGTAGGTGCTATCTTATATACATATTTATGTATGGTGTGTATGTGATATAACAAATAATCTGCACGTACTGTTAAGAAACACTAACAAAGCCCATGAATGTTTTGCTTACGATATTATTTTACGATACTATCTTAAAAGATAGATAAATATAAAACGAAATAAATGTATTTTTAAAAAAATCCAAAATTGAGAGATATAACACGTGCCGTAAAGTAATTTGGCGACAATAGTCAAATCACTGACTAATCGCCAATAACTCAAAACACAACAACAACAACATCAATGATATGACAATTTAGACGAGAACTTACAAATCCACCCGGATTTATTCCTAACAATGGCATCTTATTTCGATGAACATGGCTGTGAACCAACTGGGGAAACTGGTCCTGAACTAAATACTCTGCTACGATGGGCGAGGTGAGATATAATGACAGTTTAACAGCTAGAATAATCATGTAAATGTACGTGAATTTTGAATGTTAGAAAAGGCTGCGCGCAGCTGCTGCTTGACCAGAACCGTGAGGCATTGGTCTCCCCGGAGCTCTGGCGGCGTGATAAGTAGAAGGGTGGCTGGATTCTGCTTATCGCGCGTACATTAATTAATAACAGTGATCAAGGTGATGGTATTTTAAAAATTGTTTTATCATTTATGTTAGTAATACAGTGCTAATGTCATGCTGTGCCAGCTAATACTTATAATTTAAATTGTCATTTTATTGGAAACTCTTTTGTTCGTTAGCCTCTGATTTGGGTAGGGTCGGCTCCTCTCTTTAGTGCACGAGGCAGATTATGACAAAGAAAAAATTGCTACTTGAAATTAAAAATGATGACAAATGTCATTGATGAAATTAATATTAATGTGTTATTGCTGGCGTCGGGCCATACTTCGTAACGACAACGTGTAGAACTGGAACTTGGAACTTTTAAGATAGAAATAGAAACAGAGCGAGTCTGCCATCATGACCATACATGCCTCATTGCAGAAATTACATTCGTTGAAGTGTGACACTGCATGCTGCATAATGTGATAATGAATCCGAAATGTGGTTTTTTTTTGTTGTCATTTTACCTGAAGAGAAGTTATAGATTATCTTCAATTTTATCATTGAACACATTTCCATTGAAGATTGTGGTTAGAAAGGGCATTATTAAATCACAATGAGCATGAACATATACACATTGGTGACTCTTGATTGATTAATCTTGTCGAGACAACCCGGCCTTGCATTTGCAGCTAGGCCGAATTTGCCAGAAGGCCAAGTTAGCCCGACTCCGTGATGATGATATTCTGTTATGGATAACCCTGATTTGTGTCTGTGTTCATCAAGTTTTGATTTTTTTAAATTCTGTATCTTATAATTCACAGGATTCTAATAAATGATGTTAGGCAGTATGCTGAAAGAGAAGGGTGAGTTTCAACATCATCATCAACATCGTCGTCATGATATGAGAAGAATTGTTCCTATTAATTATCCATGGTCAATTCTTCTTCATGAAAACCACTCAATACCACAGAGATCTTGGTCGCAAATCCAACAATGGAGCAAATGAAGAAAAGTACATTTCTTTTGAATAGATATTAATAGGTTCAACTGGAGTAAAGAACAAATTATCATTTGAAGTCTTTAATTTCAGAAAATAAACAAATAACATAAACTCCAGGTACTCATTGATTATTTTAAGACAATATGTTTTATATTAAGTTCCCGAGATTAAGACCATTTGCAATATAAAGAGATAACTGAAAAGAAGATGCGTAATAAACACAGGCCAAGGATTTAAACTGGCTACTGTACACCTCTGGGTAACGAATCAAGTAGACAGAATGCTAATTAATGATTGAAAATTATGGGTGAATGATATCCTTTTTTTTAAAGATGCATGTTTACATCAGCTTGAGCAATCTAAGAAAAACATTTATTTCTCTAGCATGTTTGTTATTCGTTTATTTGCTTTGTGTTATTTTGATTATTATTTTTCTCTTTTTAGTTTGGAACTCCCACCTGATATCAGAAAAGCTCCTCCAGCTTCAAAGGAATGTGTTGCCAATTTAAAGGAGACCAACGTTTTAAAAGACAGATCAGGTAAGCATTCCAGATATACCCAGACGTATGTGAGATGAAGGCTTTTCATGGGGTTATCGCCTAGATTCCTTTACATCTTTTAAGACAAAATTTATGCAATTTTAAATATCAGGTACCTTGCAGCCTCCAAATTAGCGCACTGCAGGCAGCTGTAATAATAATAATAATAGTGGGATCTTTGTATAGCGCTCGTGTCGGTCAGATTTGACCCTCCTGGTGCTGCCGATTAGTACCCTGGCTTTAGCACTGCTGCCATACAGCCCTCTAGCATTTCAAGGAATAAATTCCTACCAGGTACCCATTTACTTCACCTGGGTGGAGTGTGCCAAATGTAGATCAACGTCTTGCCAAAGACATTAGTGCGGCGGCGGGACTCGAACCGCGGACCTTGTGATCGACAGTCCGGCGACGTATCCACTCGACCACAACACCTCTATGTATGGTACCTAATGCATGTGAATATAGAGACTACTACTCAATTGCCAATAATAAAAAAATAACTATAGAGATGCATATGAAACCTTATTAGGGGCTTATTCTTGATATTTAAGATACTCTATTTTTATGCCAAGTTTCTCCCCATGGCCGAGATCCCCGGGGGGGGGGGGGGGGGGGGTGATTCCTCAGCTGAGAGAGAGCACCTTTTTAGGTTTGATATCTTGATTTATTAACTGCACTAATGTACTTTGGCAAGACATCAATCTACACTTACCACTCTCCACCCAGGTGTTAATTGGGTACTGGTAGAAGGAAATTCCTTGAATGCTGTGAACACCAAAAAATTGGTAGCCTAGAAAAGTGGGGGTAATATTGGAGCACCTTGCATGTTGGATATGTGGGGTACAATAAAGTATCCAATATATTTATTGTTATTACCAGAGAAGTGTCCTATATGCCTGCTGCCCTATCGAAGGGGAGATGTAACAAAGACTCTACCATGCACCCATGAATTTCACCAGACTTGTATCCTACCATGGCTAGGCAAGGTATGTATTAAAACCAAGCAATATTTTGGATTTTAAAAAAAAAAAAAAAATTATTTATTCATTTATTTTTTAATTTTACAAGGATTGCTGTCCAATATCACACCTAATAGCCACATTTACGGCTAGGAGGATTTGTTATAAACTTCTCATTATTTGTCTCATTTACATCATAATTTCACCTCTGTTATTCTCTGTTAGTTTTGCTTCAACTCAGACACACATACCAGGGATAATTCAATTGTACCATGAAGGTGTCCTTCAAAGGTTTTTAACAATCTTTAGCTGGAATGCAAGAGAATACTTTTTTAATAAGTAGTAACCCAAAATAAGTTAAATTGATTTCAGAAAGAATAATTAGTAGAGGTAAGCCTTGTGGATGCATTGATCTGAAGAAGAAAAAAAGAAAGTTTTCATGAAAAATAAGCATGATCAATTTTTTTTCTTTTACTTCATGATTTGGTTATTAATATAAAAAGTGTCGTTGAATGATGGAGTTTCTAGAACCCTTATTACTAGTATGTTTAGTAACAATCGCTTCAATATCAAAAGAGTGCTCAATTTTTGATCATTTATTTTCTTCCTTTAAAAAAAAAGACCAATTCCTGTCCCCTATGTAGACATGAGTTACCCACAGATGATGAAGATTATGAGGAATACAAAAAACACAAAGTAAGTAGTCACGATACCACAGTCCAAATACCTTGTTTATACAAGGGCAAATTGACCGTTTCTTGGCCGTAGAGATAGTGCAATATTGTGTTTGGTCTGTTGTCGATCTGTTGACTAGAATATAATGATAACAAATTAAAAAATTTAGAACAGATTGGAAGAAATTTGTGTTAAAATTCTGTGTGAACTTACGTGTAGGTAAATAATAACTGTAGTCCCCCCCCCTGAAGGGTGCACAAATTGCACATCCCTCTTTTTGTGTGAAGGCATAAAACAATTGAGTTGGAAAGAAAATACATGTACACCTTGCAATGTAGGGGATATGAGAGAGAGAGAGAGAGAGAGAGAGAGAGAGAGAGAGAGAAAGAAGGGGGAGAAATAGTGAGAGAGAGAGAGAGTATTCATGTACATTAATAGTCAGCAGAGCTAGGAAACATTCTAGGTTTGACTTTATCTAATTGTGTTACCGTTAAGACTACAAAGAGAGAGAGATACTCTATCATTTATTTTTGATAACTTTCAATTAACCTTCGGCTACATTTCTTACTTTTACGTAACAACAATGTTTATGCTTGTCAAACATGTTTGTTTTTCATCTGTCTTGTTCTTCCCGCAATTTCACAGGCACGGGCCAAGCAGAGACAGTTTGAAACGGAGAGCCTTCACAACTCTATGTACACATGATGGAGAAGAAAACATGAAGAGTTCCGTTCCAAAATATGCTACATCCACAAAACTAGGTTCTGAGAAAAACAAGGGTTTTTAATTAATATGCCTATTTTGCAATATCAGTTTGAAATGAAACTCATTCCCATGGTGTATTGGGATGACATTATAACTTTAAATTTTTTTTTAGATTCCACAGTTTTAATAGTGCAATAAATTAATTACTTTTAAAAATCTGTTGATGTAGCTAGCACGTCTTGTAACGGAACTCTGGGTCCCCCAAGCTTGCAGTGTACTGAGTGCCGCTCACCACCTTCTACTGTGTGGGAAACTGAATATCAGTGCGCGTTCATTCATGCACGTCATGCTGCTCTGTGATTGGTCGGTTTCTAAAGCAGGCCACTCTATCGTGTTCCGGAACTGAACTGAAATGGATGTAGCATGTTTTGGAACCAAACTCAGTATGTTGATGTCGGATCTTTTTATATTCTCATAAAAAACTAATGTTTTTTGTTTGTGTCTATTTATATAACAACTAAAAATAAGTATATTCATGCCAAAAATAAAAAGTCTATGTTGTTAAAAAGTTGATGCCGCATGTTTCGGAACTAAATTCTTAAAATACACTACCATACATGCCAACTGTTCAGATTAAAGAGGAACATTCCTCTTTTTGGGAGAAGATAATTATCATTTTAATGCAGGTGTTCCTCTTCCTGTACAAATTTGTCTGTTGTATTGAATAGGAGAGTTAGGATTGTTCCTCTTTTTTTTTTAAATAGCATAATTTGTACAGATTTCTGATTTTCAAATGTTGGCATGTATGCACTACACATGTGTATATTGTTTTATAAGTAACAGCACAGGTCGATTCCATAATAGAAAAAAAGACAATTTTAAATTAATTTTCCAGCAATAAATTATGCATGGAATTGCTGAAGTTGTGTTAGGGCAATCATAAACAACTGTCAAAAGTCCAAACTATTTTATGCGGGCCCATCAAATTCGACTTTAATATGTATTGGATCCATGTTTGTTTACGTGTTGTCAAAATGAATACTGGTATAAATGCCCTTCTTGTTCCAGGCCAAAGACTTTGTAGAGATTGTATTTGATGATTAAATTTGTAATGGAATTGTATTTATAAAACCCATGCCCAGGAATATTGGGACAATTTATACCCCTTTCAAACCAAATTTTGGCTTTTTCTGCATGAAATTCCCTGGGGAAAATCTCAGAATTGTATGTGCTCAATTGGCTGGGTAAACAGAGAAAAAATACCGGAGTACCTTTCACTCCGACCTCGGTTCTCGAGGAAGTTGCCATTTGGTTAGGAATCTCACGATTGATGTGTTCTTATAAGTAAGGTCAGATTCATGGCATGGAGTTTGGAAGCATGTACGTGGCTATACACCTATCATCAGGGGGGCGTTTCACAAAACTTGTCATCTGTGACAGATGACAGTTTTTGTTGCAAGCTAGTGAAATCCTTGCTTCTGATTGGTTATCAGCACATTTGTTACTGATTTTTGTCATTTGTCATTGAATTTTTTTTTATGAAACGCCCCCCCCCCCCCCCAGGACGAGCGAGAGCTAGGCGTGTGTAATCTGTGAGATCGGGCGGGAGTGATATTTGACCTCCTACATATTTCACTGGGGGGGGGGGGGGGGGGAGTTACCCACTGTCCAATCACGCCGGCCATTTCCCCGGTGAAATTCTCTATACCAGGGAAGTTCTCCACCTTGGTATTAAAGTGGAGGAGATCCCTTATAAAATTCTCCGGGCTTCCCCAGGAAAACCAAGGACTTCACGGGTAAAGTTTCCCAGGGAACTGCTTGGTTTGAAAAGGGTATTCCATATTATATGTTTGAGATAAAAGTGTGATAGATCATGTATACCTTACCGACAAATGGAAATGAAATGTATAAACAGATGCATAAACACTTGCCACTGCATGCACATTTCTCTCTTTTTTGTTGTTTCGCAATGCTCAACTAATTGTTAAGGTACATGTTGCACTGTACATTTAGTTCCTAAGGCATCATTTGTATACCTGTAATATAGGTTATTGATATGAATGATGCTTTTGGCAGGATGTGCAATTTATTTGCAAGAGCAAATTTAGGTCAATTTACCATACTTACCACTGTATTAAATACAGACCATGGTTTGGTAGGCCTTGAGTATTTTAATGACATGTTTGACTTTAGGCCCTTTCGTTTTTAATATATTTAAAATTACATGTAGGTCCATTATTTATGCTTCTTATTGAGATTGGCGTAAGCAAAAGCTGCAAACATTGTTGTATATTTTTACAATTCTAATGAATTCAAGTGAATGTGTTATGAAATAAATGCTGTTTGTGAATCCATGTCTATCATAATGTTCTGATTATGAATACTTCTCAGTTACAACATTATTTGAATGTAAATCATATCTCCATGGTTACTGCAAAGTGCAAATGATATAAAATGGAATACAAGTCACATTGTAGTACCATGCTTCATTTGTGTTCACATTACATTTGCATGGGGTTGGGAGCTACAATTGATATATCATGTCAATGTCTTTTTCGAGGGATAATCTTGATGAATCATTCACATCCATATATGCTTAGCAAGTTCATGTATTCAGTTTGTTCACATAAGGTCAATCAAACTAAACCTGTCTATATGTGGCCATTGTAGACAGGTGGTCACTAAAGGCTTGTTCAGATATGGGCCGGAAAACCATCGCAAAAAAACCCACAATGGTTTCTTCACTTGTAAAAAAGAAAGAAAAAAAAGAAGAACCAAGTTTTGCCGTATCGTATCATATCTGAACTAGCCTTCAGTGACCACCTGTCTATTATTGTGGTCATCAATTTTGTCACCCATGTCTACAATGTCCACTTTCCGTTGGGTGGCCTCAATAGACAGGATCAGTTCGACTGTACAGGTATGTGAACAAACCAAATATATGAACTTGACTGACCGACTACTATGACACAGTAGATTATTAGACTACACAATAAATACAGAAGTGTGTTTCAAACTCTTTTATTCCCGTCGTTTTAATACTGTCTAAAAAATGACAATACTCGCTTATAAATCTACTACACACATGTAAGTTATATCTTTCATACCACCGTTTTCTTTCTACATGTACTGCTATTATGTACAACATTTATGGTCAATAAAAAACAGTAATATATCAATTCTATCAAATTTTGATTTTATTTGCATTTTTACAAATTAAAGGCAGTGATAGTAAACTGCTCAGTGTGACAGTCATGGGAAGTTTGCGTTTATTAGAAGTTGATTAAACCAAGCAAACTATACACCCCAAGTCAAAACAAAATGTAACTATATCTTCATGTATGACAAAGTGAATGTGATTGAAAGAAAATCTGTGGTTATTGCCTGAATTTGAGACAAATTAGAATGGAGTCAATTCTATTCTACATCATGTAATGAATGCTCACTGTAATAGTGCAAACCTTTTGTATGATTGTCTAGGTACTGAAATATGAGAGCAGGCCAGGGCAGGGCATGAGAGCAGAAAAACAAGAGAAAACGAATGGCGAAAGTTTGAAATAATATGAGATCACTAAAGCTATGTGAATCTCAAATTGGCAAGTTTGTCATTGGATTGTGAACTCTCCCATTTACTGTGTACAAAAATGTCATTAATTTCTATTTTCTCCAATTTTAGAAAAGAAAAGACCCACCTGAACCATATATTATGACAAAAATGACATTTTGGTCATGTGTGTTGGAACAATTGGGAAAAGTTGTCCGGCACTGTATCACAGTGACATTATCTATTCATCAATGTGCAGTTCCCACACATATTTTCTGTCCAATTTCGATCAAACTGTCGCCCTCTTTGATTTTTCTGCTTTCTTTTAGAGTTGTTTGCTATTAAGATTGGATTACCCTTCAAGCTTTCCACTTTGTACAGGAACACTTACGGCTTCCTATCCCGTGACACATGTTTCGACAGACTCCATTCCACATAAATGAAGATAAATAATCATATTCGCTCCATAAACACACCTTGGTATAACACATGCTTCATTCTATAGCAACATGCCATTGCACATTGCCATTTCTTACTGTATCCATCCACTACCAAAATATCTAAGACCCTGTTTATGAACACCAGTGGGAAAGATGCTTCCTCATTGAAGACATACAGCACTACCCAAACAATTCTCCACACCTCACAAACATATTTTCTGTCTCCTGAATCTTCCGACAACTGGGCCATTTAATATTTATCATCAATTGTAAGAGTTGCATATTTGTAAAAATTTGCAAATGGCAAATCAAATGGAACAATTTCACAAGCTTATAACAGTTAATGGAACTCAAAGCCCCTCTGCACTAGTCTGGCTAGGAGGGATTAGACCTCCCTGCATGGTCACTGACAGGTGGTTATCTCATCAAATCAGCTCTCAATTAACATAAGAACAAGGGGACCATGGGGGACCAATGGTCACCGATTAGGCATTGTTTGCTATATAGAGCACGCAAGTAGCTATAAGTAGTGCATTGGGGCTTTAACTACATTTTATTTCTTGACTGACCTAGACCAGGGGGATGTTTCACAAAGATTTTAAGTCGAACTTAACTCTAAGTTGGACTTAACTATTATGGAGAGCCATTTGTAGCCTTATAATGAACTATATTCAAAAGCAAAAATTAAAGTATTTTAGACTTTTCATAAATTCTACATCAAGAACATGAAATCTCCCATGATAATAAAAAAAATATGAAAGATTTGAATCAACATTTTATGCCTTTTAAAATAACTTTGTAATGGAATATTTTCAAGGATGCTAACAGCTTTCCATAATTGTTAAGTCCAACTTAGAGATAAGTTCAACTTAGGATCTTTGTGAAACACCCCCCAGGAGGCCTAGTGAACTTCCCGGTCCATATATATATAACCTTAGTAAGCCTGTTATAAATATGTACTAAAGCTTATGTAATAATTAGTTGACAGACGGCTTAGTAATGTTTTATAAATATAGGCCAAGAACTCTAAAGGCTTGTAATGGCATATACCGCAGTAAACCGTGGCTGTTCACTGCATATTTTTAAAAGCATACAGTAGATGATGTTTTACCATTGAGAATATGAGAAAGAACAAACACATAAATCTAGTTATGTCAAGAATGACAAAATCAAAGAAAACAAATTAAAACCAAAGCTCTATATAATCGTAACTTCTACATTTGAATTAGGATTGAACATTTAATTTTGAATACGCATATTTTGCTGAATACAGTACTACTACATCAGTGGCTTATAACTTATAACTCTCTCCAGGTTTTGTTTCAGAAGTTAAATCAGGTACTTGAAAGTAAACCCCTCAAAGAAAATTCTGCAATTCAAGTTTTAGCGTCGATATCTCCCTTGTTGGTATATGGTCATACCTGACAGTGATATCGTTGAAAAGTTGGGGGGGGGGGGGGGGGGGGAGGGTGTTTCACAAAACTTGTCATAAGCTTTTTTTTTGTTATAAGCTAGTGAAATCATTGCTTCTGATTGGCTATCAGCAGGTTTGTCACTGATTTTTATCATTTGTCATTGATAAAAGGCCTTGTAAAACAGGTCACAGGTCATGCGATTGCATTGTGAAAAAGCGGGACTACACAAGAATGTGGCATATAAATCGGGCCTCATTTTGAAGCTGTTACTTGTCATATTCAGAATATGAAGGCATTTGAAGAGCCATGCTTTTCAGGGAAGTGATAACAAATCATTTTTCACCTCTCCCATGAACTCTACCTTCTCTTTAAGTGTTTCTTCCCCTTAACAATGCTGCCCCATCCATAACGATTATGTAATCATTGAATGTACAATACTAAGTCAACAGTGAAATATTGCAAAATGCATCGTTATTCCTTCAAAACTCAATCTATCCTCCTGTCCAAACAAATTCGCTATGGACAATAACAATGCATTTTGACTCGGCCCAACTTACAGGTGTACTGCACAGTCTGTGATTACCTGATCGTTACAAATGGGGTATTATTGTAAAGGGGAATACAAAGGCTTTCCAATGATACCAGCGTCAAATATGACCATATTGTAACAAGAGAGATATCAACGCTCAAACTTGAATTGCAGAACTTTATTTTGAGGAGTTCAGAATCCAGCTTTGCTTCTTCTGGCTGAATTTGTGGTCTTTATTTCTTTTAAAATAAAAAATCATTTGAGAATTTGTAAGAAGGCAGGTATAGTCTTAAAAACGAGCTATGTTGGGGAAGCGGCTAAATGACTTGACAGGAATGCAAATACAGTGTATCCTCTTCATAGGATTGCACTGCATATCACTCTCACACTTGAAATGTGACTTGAGAAATGGCTGAAAAGTTAGAACCCAATTTTCACTCCAAATGTATGTGAAGTCCCATATGTCCATTTCTGTGTGCAGTGGTTGTTATGTTCAGCGAGACGACTCCAAGACCCGACAGCATACACTTATTTCTATGCACTTATTGCACTACATAATCAGCCTTTTCCAATTACTTCAGGAGAGTTCCGTTCACCATGTAATTGCATTACAAGTATTTAACTTTATAATAAAAGTGTTTGGGTCAAAATGAAAAAGAAGACTGAACAGATATTGGATACTATACACTAAACCCACTCTAAATTTGATACCATACACTAAACCCACTCTAAATTTGTACACCTACAAGAATCATGCAAAGAATGGGAGAGACAAAAAAGACACAAACTGTTACATTTGTTATCTTCGGTTGCAGTATGATGGAATCTTTAAATACAAAAGGCATCGTGGCTTAGTTAAGGTGTCACAGGTAGATCTATATGTGTGTGTACAGTTTCACCAGACGGCGCTTCAAAAGGCGACCCATCTCTTCCATTCGTTTCCGGAACACACTGCGCTTTGGACGCTGATTGACCATACTGGCTAGTCTCCCGGTCGGTCGAGGGCACAGTCGGAGTTAAGTCGTCTAACGAAACAGCTTTCTCTTTAGCCAGCGAGTGATCCTCTTCTGACAGATCAGGCAAGTCATCACCGTTGTGAAGGTGATTGTGAAGGTCACCATTCTCAAGTTCATTGTGAAGGTCACCATTCTCAAGTTCATTGTGAAGATCATTAATGTCCATGTCTTTGTTGAGACCTTCCAAACCGTGCTCAATTTCATTGTCGTCATCGGAAAGGAACACCTCGGCTCCATGGAATACATAGCGCATTGGTGGGATGAAGAGGAAGGACGATTCTGTGAAAAATAAAAAAGATTTAAACAACTTCAACAAAGACATATATTTCATTTGAATAAAGAAAATGTATGGAAGTAAAAAGCAAGGAAGGTTGACAGAATCCTTTGTTTCTCTTTCCAATTTAGAGTCAGCTTTAAAGTTTCTGTGGAATGTTCTCTAATTTAATTCAACATGGAGTACTTTCTAGTTCCAAAAATCAAAAGAGAAGAAATATTCCTCATTACAAAAAATTGGTCTTTACCTTTCAGTTGAGTTGAAATCGTTGCCCGAGGTGTTTTGGCTGCCGCAGACGTGGATGGACTTGGCTTGGCTTCAGAGTCCGAGGCAGGACTAGCTTGCTCCCTATGTTCTACAACACTTCCACTTGACGAGCTAACATTACCAACTTCAGAATTTAAATCATCTTGTGAATTTGTTCTGTCTGTTTCGTTCACACACAATCCCAGATCTTCAGCTTCCGCTTTCACATCAGTACTTGGTTCTTTACAGTCACTTGCAACATGGGTTTGAGTGCTTTCGGAGTCGTTGCCCACTTTGACATCCGGGGAGCTAGCACCCGTGGACGAGTTCCCTATCGAGTCCAACGTTCTTTGAAAGAGCATGTACTGTTCAGCAGCACTGTTTCTTTGAGCAGTCTGATCCTGTGCTGTATGGGATTGTGACGATTCAGAGGGAATCGTTTTGGAAGTTTGGGGTTCACTCGACGCTAAGGCATTTTCAACTTCATCAGCACTCTGCAACCTGTCACTATTTGACGATGGGGAACAGTTTGTCTCACTTCGGGAACAAGGCAAAGCATCTACATGAATCTTGCCTTCGTTTGTTAAGCCATTTATATGATGTTCTGATGAAGTTTGATTCTCGGGAGCCCGGAGTCTTTCGACACAACTCTGTTTTACATGTCCTTCTGTCGAGATTGGAGAATCTTGGCTGTTCGAACGAGCTAATCTGTCATCGCCTTCTCCAGCTTTAGATCCCTCATTCTTATCATCACCACTAGACACTTGACCTTCCTCCTTCAAAGAACTCAAAGAGTGCTGTGTATCCTCTTTCGATTTGACATTTATTGGATTTGACACGGATTCCTCCTGATCTATCCTACCTGCAGGATCAGGTTTCTGATCCACAGTTGTTTCTCCCTCATCCAGCACTGGATCAGGTTTCTGATCTACGGTTGTTTCTCCCTCATCCAGCACTGGATCGGATCTCTGATCCACTGTTGTTTCTCCCTCATCCAGCACTGGATCGGGTCTCTGATCCACGGTTGTTTCTCCCTCATCCAGCACTGGATCAGGTCTCTGATCCACGGTTGTTTCTCCCTCATCCAGCACTGGATCAGGTCTCTGATCCACGGTTGTTTCTCCCTCCTCCAGCACTGCCTTCCGGGCTTGTTGAGACTCTTTAGGCTTGAATCCATTGGGAATGTGGGTGGTCTCTGTCAATCTCTGCTGCGACTGGCACACATGGTCCCAGCCATCCCCTAGCCGGTGGAGGATCTCATTGATGATGACATCACAGTCGCCTAGCAACTCGATGTCAAAGTTCAAGTGGGGAAGGGGTTCTCTGTTAATCAGAATCTGAGGCACTTTTTTTGGAAGCAGACCTGCAAGAATAATCGGGTGCAAGAAACAAAGATGACTACAAGTCTACAAATATTACATGATAAAAGGAAATTCAGTAAAGTACAAAAAGAAATTCAATAAAAGTACTGTAAAACAAGAAACAAGTGCTACACAACTTGTTTGCTATTAAACAACAGCAATTTTCATCGCAAGAGACTTTAGCGTTTATAACATTTTTGGGATAAATCATTTGTGATTCAAGTTTTCCATGGCATGACACTCTTTGTGAACCTGGACTACTCAACCAAATTTTTTAACATTTCATGCATGCGAACATTTTCGGTTCTACATCATCATAATTTTCAATATCAGATGAAAAGCTCATTTTTGTTCAATGCCTTTTACAGGTTAGGACTAACTTTCAGAAAGTGGATTTCATTTGGAAGTGGACATCCAATTGTGTCTATGTTTATTCTTGCTAGAATAAAGTCATAGATTTGAGATTGCTAAAGATCTTTATCTTTTTTTCTCTCCACAGAATGGTGACAATCATCCGTACTTTCATTCAAATCTTTAATACCCGAAGAAAGAACTAAATTATATGTATGTATCATGCTACTGACTGTACTCTCAGAACTCGGCTTAAAGCCCCTCTAAGGTGTTGGGAGCCAAAAATTTGATGGCAAAATATCACTTAAATTGTATCAAATCTATCTGCAAAGTATCATAAACTCACTTGGGATAGTAGCTACAGGCCTGACTTTAAGAGAGGACCCCATAACGATGAGTAGATCAGCTGTCTCTTTGTCGTCGTTTAGCTTGTCATAGAAGTGGTTTGGAAGGCCCTCACCAAAGAAGACGATATCTGGCTTCAGGACGGCCATGTCTGGTGTATCAGGGCCACACTGCGGGCAGATAGGAATCATCTAGGATGACAGGGGAATAGGATTGGTAAGAGTTAGTCTCAATAAATAGGACTAAATCTGGCTTCATGACGGCCATCTCTGGTGTATCGGGGCCACAATGAGGGCAGACAGGAACAACCTATGATGACAGGGAAATAGGATTGGTAAGAGTTAGTCTCAATAAATAGGACTAAATCTGGTTTAAGGACGGCCATCTCTGGTGTATCGGGGCCACAATGAGGGCAGACAGGAACAACCTATGATGACAGGGAAATAGGATTGGTAAGAGTTAGTCTCAATACATAGGACTATATCTGGCTTCAGGACGGCCATCTCTGGTGTATCAGGGCCACACTGGGGGCAGACAGGAACAATCTAGGATGACAGGGGAATAGGATTGGTAAGAGTTAGTCTCAATAAATAGGACTAAATCTGGTTTAAGGACGGCCATCTCTGGTGTATCGGGGCCACAATGAGGGCAGATAGGAATCATCTAGGATGACAGGGGAATAGGAGTGGTAAAAGTTAGTCTCAATACATTGGACTATATCTGGTTTAAGGACGGCCATCTCTGGTGTATCAGGGCCACACTGGGGGCAGACAGGAACAATCTAGGATGACAGGGGAATAGGAGTGGTAAAAGTTAGTCTCAATACATTGGACTATATCTGGTTTAAGGACGGCCATGTCTGGTGTATCGGGGCCACACTGTGGGCAGATAGGAATCATCTAGGATGACAGGGGAATAGGAGTGGTTAAAGTTAGTCTCAATACATTGGACTATATCTGGTTTAAGGACGGCCATCTCTGGTGTATCGGGGCCACACTGAGGGCAGATAGGAATCATCTAGGATGACAGGGGAATAGGATTGGTAAGAGTTAGTCTCAATACATAGGACTATATCTGGCTTCAGGACGGCCATGTCTGGTGTATCAGGGCCACACTGAGGGCAGATAGGAATCATCTAGGATGACAGGGGAATAGGATTGGTAAGAGTTAGTCTCAATACATAGGACTATATCTGGTTTAAGGACGGCCATGTCTGGTGTATCGGGGCCACACTGCGGGCAGATAGGAATCATCTAGGATGACAGGGGAATAGGAGTGGTAAAAGTTAGTCTCAATAAATAGGACTAAATCTGGCTTCATGACAGCCATCTCTGGTGTATCAGGGCCACACTGGGGGCAGACAGGAACAATCTAGGATGACAGGGGAATAGGAGTGGTAAAAGTTAGTCTCAATACATAGGACTATATCTGGTTTAAGGACGGCCATCTCTGGTGTATCACGGCTGCTCCGTGGGCAAAATTGTAACCACCTGAAGTGAAAAGGAAATTGGAATGGTTAGAGTGACCATCGCCACTAAAGAAAACTATGTTTGCTTTCAGGATGGCCTACTCTCACATAAAGAAAAAAAAAAAAAAAAAGGATGGCCTACTCTGGTGTATAGAACTGCACTGAGGGCAGACTGGTTCAACCTGGAGGGTGTTTCACAAAGCCTTTTTGCAATAACAAATGACAAATATCAGTGACAAATCTGCTGATAACTAATCAGAAGCAAGGATTTCAGTAGCTTATAACAATCAATGTCATTTGTCACTGATGACAAGTTTTGTGAAATGGGGCCCTAAAGTGAATTGGAAATAAGAATTGTTACAGTGATCCTTATGGTCAAACCAGACTATATCTGGCTCAGTTCAGTGTGTCTTGACCAGCAACCAGTCAGTGGCCAGTCATGCAACCTATTAGGATTTTCTCCCACTGGAAAAATCACAACACCATGTACTCTTGATCTTCGGTTTGTATAACATCTTAGGACATTTCTAAACACAGTTACTACTGAACTGAATATTCACATGGCTAAATACAGGCACAACCCATTACCCGTAAGCGTGAGTATTATCTTAAAGATAAACGTGAGTTCTGGTAAAAAAGAAAGAAAATGATTTATCACAGAATGAAATGAAACTTACACTGAATGTTCAAGATTACAAATAATTGTCATTTGCCAAACAATTTTGGTTGAAAATGTATACTGGCTGAGTAAAGAGCAAAGAAAGATAAGGAATCAAGGTACATGTAGGTAACCCCTGACACCATTTGTGTAGTCCCATATACATCTTTCTGTGTACAGTGCTTGTTCCTTTACCAAGACTGGGTCAAATTTATTATGATTTTGATGACTCCAGAACCTTGCAGTACACACCGATACTTACATGCTACATGATCAACTTTTTCTGATCCATTCCACAACTTTTCTTTCACAATGCAATCGCATGACCAGAACTCAACTTTATCTTTAACCTTCAAAATCAAGTGGTAGTACTGTCATAAGGAGTGTCTTACCTGGTTGAATACATCATCTCTGATCGCATCCGAGTCCACACTTAGTCCACATCGAGTGCATGTTGCAGTGGCAAAGGAACCTTTACCAAAAAAATTAAAAATAATGCGATTCTCAAGGAATAATAATAATAATATTCCGCTTTTATTTAGCACCCAATACATCAATACAACGATGTGTCGAAACGCTTTACAGATATATTATTACTCCGGCCATCGGATTCAGGCTTACCCACACACAACGTATGTACCTTCTCCGCTCCCTGAGAAGCATTCAGGCCAGTCGCCATTTTTACAAGCGCACACTTGCTAATCAAACCACATTAGCTTTCGCATCCTACCGGGTACCCATTTAACACCTGGGTGGAGAGTGGCAAATGTAGATAAACGTCTTGCCAAAGGACATTAGTGCTGCGGCGGGACTAGAACCCCGTACCTTGTGATCTGCAGTCGTGTGACTTATCCACTACACCACAACACCTCCACTAGAGGTGTTGGGGTGTAGCAGGTACATCGGCAGACTGTGGATCACATGGTTGGCGAGTCGAGTTCTGCTAGGGTACTAATAACCTTTGGCAATTAATCTACATTTGGTGGTACTTCAGATATTGTGAAAACGAGGTTCATAACCCAGAATTTCATGGAATTGACCTTTACGACCGTTGACCTACTGACCCCAAGATTGAATAAGTTCATCTCCCTATACTGTTGCATATTATCACCAAGTTTGAACTTCATACCTTCAAGGATGCATTTCCCTTTAAAGTGACTTAGTAACATTGCCTCAGATTCTGAAACAAAATCCTGGATTTAGCTCATGCTGCAATCATAATTATAAACCTTTAGGTCAATCAGGAATCCCATGACTTATACAAGCTGATGGCTTGTTTGATTATCAAGATATTTATGATTGGAAATCGGAATTTCATTTTTCGTTTTTCATAACACTACAGTCTATTTTGGAAAATGAGTACTGTATGGTAAAACCGGTCACTGAAAGATTTTTTTTTTGGGGGGGGGGGGGGTAGGGGGCAGTTTATGTTCATTTTGAAGCGCAATTTTTGTAGGGGTTCCATATTACACCATATCACAGACACTGATAACACGTAGGGCCATGGATCTCAGATTTAACATTGTTTAACGATGCCTTTAAAGCCCCACTGCACTAGTTTGGAGAGGAGGGATTAGACCTCCCTGCATTGTCACTGACAGGTGGCTATCTCATCAAATCAGCTCTCAATTAATATTTTTTTTAAGGGGATCATGGGGGACGATTGGTCACCGTTTAGGCATTGTTTGCTATACAGAGGGCGCAAGTAGCTATAAGTATTGCAGTGGGGCTTTAACAGGGCTGCCAACCTTGTGCGACCAAAAAAAGGAATCATGATGGCAAGAAAAAGGAATTTCAAGCCAAAAAGAGGAATTCATAAAAACGAAACTTACAACCACGCGCGACACACTTCCAATGCAGAAATGTTCATTCATCATGCTGTTTTTTTCCATACAAGCAGGTAATTTTTTTGTGGTTATTTTGGTATTATCTGCATTTCATTTTTTTTTAGAATATTTTTCTCTTCAAGTATGTTTTAAAATTAGTTTTCTATTGAATTTGTGATCAAATCACCATTTTAGGGCAGTTGTTTGACGTGCGGTATGTAAAAAAAAAATAAAAAAAATAAAAATTAAAAAACGTATTTTATGAAGAACTAGATGGAACTTCGACTGCGCGCAGTCGAAAATGATGTCTCCATCATAGAGCAAGTTTACAAACCAAAACAGAAGAAATTTTTCAAATTCAAGTTTCATTGTAATCCATTAACAGGTTCTCAGAATATCATGATTACAAGCAATTTCTCATATACATATATGACCCTTTGATCTTTGACCTCATGACCCTAAAATCTACTCAGTTCATTGGCTCTGCAAGATGTCCTGAGTTAAATAGTAATCCATCTGTCAGTTCTAATGAGAATGCGTTCACAAGCTATTTTTGCATACATAATGAGCCCATGACATTTGACCTTTGACCTCCTGACCCAAGAATCTACTCAAGTTCATTGAATCCGCAAGATACATATATGATCTAAGTTTGGCAGGAATCCATCAATCGGTTCTTGAGATAATGCGATCACAAGCTGTTTTTGCATATATAATGAGCCCTGTGACCTTTGACCTTTGACCTTCGTGACCCCAAAATCTAATCAGTTCATCGGCTCTGCAAGATACATACATGACCAAAGTTTGGCAGGAATCCATCAATCGGTTCTTGAGATAACGCGATCACGAGAACGGGACGTACGGACGGACGGACAACCTGAAAACATAATGCCTCCGGCTACTTCGTAACAGAGGCATAAAAAACGTAATACCGTTATTTGGAGGAAAAAAACGGAGTAATTCCGCCAAAAACGGAATGGTTGGCAGCTTTGCTTAAGGATAACGGCGATGGACTTACCATGGCACTGTATAACTCCTTTGATCCCTGCGGCTTGCTCTAGGGTATCAATATTCTGAGTGTAGTTCCTCAGCAGCTTCTGATGCTGCTCCAGCTGGGAGATGAACTTGTGACTGGTGGAGGGCTTGAACTGGCCTGGGAACAGCTCCTGCAATGCAATTCAATTCAATTTTTTTTATTTATCCAAATTCTCAAGAATACATGGAAATTTGTTCTGGTCACACATCGTACAAATACGTAAATATATATGAGAAACTATATCGTTGTGTTTATAATCATAGAAGAACCATCAAATTAAAGATAGACAAGAAATTATCTTATATTCTAGTATTACACAATGAATGGATTATCAGATTATCAAAACAAGAGATCCCTTGTCTACATTTAAAGACAACATATTCTTGAGCAGTCTTTGTACTGTTAACTTTTGTGACCTGAACTTCGCAAATTATACCCTTTAGCCATTGCACTTCCGAGAATTTTTCCAAACTGGCAAATTTACCTTACGGATGCCTTTCGCGGCATTAACTTTCCCAAATCTGGATAGTGAGTGACATTTGCGAAAGTAATAGATTCTACTGCATAAAGGTTCCCAGCATTCCATTAAAAACAAAATTCCCTGATGTTTCCTTGAGTTTTCCCAGATAGCTATTCAAATGTCCAGGATCTTAAAAGAGGCATTGCACAAACTTAAAAGCCTCCTTAGCCAATCATCCGAGGGATACGCCGTTGTACACAGGACAAAATATAAGGTACTGAAGGTGGAGGTGTTGTGGTATAGTGGTTTATTCACTTGACTCTGAATCTAAGAGTTGAGGATTCAAATCCCAGCCCGGCACTAACATTTGTTGGCAAGACATAAAGCCTTTCGCCACTCTCCACCAAGGTGTTAAATGGGTATGATGCGAAAGACATTGTAGTTGGCACCTCGCTGGAATGCTCCCCAAGGAGCGGAGAATGTGCATACATTGTGTGCAGGCAAGCCTGAATTCAATGACCAGGGTAGTAACATATCTGTAAAATGCTTAGAGATAACTTCAATGTATGAAGCACTATATAAACAATGCTATTATCATTATACTGATAACCGCTACTTGTTTTGGACCACTGAAACTCCCTGACTTAGTGTCCAGGGGTTCCCTGATTTTCCTGGTAACTTGAGAGCCATACATCAACAAGACTTAAATTATACTGTGAAGTAATCATTGCCCCATACCTTTGCAAACTTGTAGAAGGGTCTTGGGTCTTTGCGGAAGTAGCTGATTTCAAACATGGCTTGCGGGTCTGGCAGGTCTGGAAAGTCTACCGCCAGGCGGGCATACACTCCGTCTCTGGAGCGAAAGTCTGGGATCCCACAGGATACAGATACCTGAACATCATAAATGACAAAGAAAATATCCCCATATACTGTACGAAATGAGAGTCTTTGTAGTCCACAACACATTTTACCATGAAACAATCCTGTTTGTTTTTCATTAAGAGCCCTCATAAAGACAGAGAAATTTTCACGCACTGGCGGGTCTGCTAGAGCCTTGCGAGTGGGCCTCGCGCTGTCAATCCATTATTCAAAATCAAAATGGCTGAATACGCCAACCTGTCTACAACGGCCATAGACGGCTATACACAGGTTTGACTGTAATTGGTTAAAGTCATGAACTAAGTAGCCAATAAGAATCAGCTGATAATGCAAGATGAATATGCATTGTAAACAGCCTCTGTAAATTGTCACATGTATCACAAATATCTGTGTCTCAATTTTCCACAGAAATTTGTAGATGCAAAGCTATCAGCTTTTACAATATATGATGAAATAGCTATATGAAGGTAATGAGTTTGATCTCATTACAATTCTGTAAAAGACAAATAAGAAAACTCACTCCTGCTCCAGTCAAGACCAGAATGTTTTTGCAGGTTTTCAGTAGTTGGATCGCATCGTCGAAGGTGTTGTACTGCTCCAGTTTCTGCCTTGGAGGCGGCTCGTCGATGGAGCGCAGGTACTCTGCGATGATGGACCACATCTCAAACTCATCCATCTCCTCCGGAATGGTCATCCCCGATGGGATGATGCGCATCAAAATGGACTTTGGGTTGGTACCGGACATCATCTGCTTCTGCAACCAACCCATGGGACCTGGTTGGGGGAGAGTATCACAAACAAGATAGGAATGATTGCAATGGAGAACCCCTTTTTAAACATAAGACTGACTTTTAACATTGGACATTAATAACAATTTCCAGACATCATCTGCTTCTGCAACCAACCCAACCTGGTTGGTTGGGGAGAGTGTCACAAACAGATAGGAATGAATGCAACAGAGAACCCCTTTTTAAACATAAAACTGACTTTTGACATAGGACATTAAAGCCCCACTGCACTACTTATAGCTACTTGTGCCCTCTACAGCAAACAATGGCTTATCAGTGACCGTTGGTCCCCCACGGACCCTTTTTCTAATGTTAATTAAGAGCTGATTTGATGAGATAACCACCTGTCAGTAACCATGTAGGGATGTCTAATCCCTCCTGGCCAAACTAGAGCAGATATGCTTTAATAACAATTTTCAACGACAAGTACAGCTAGATATATGTGCGGTGTTACACGAATCCCTCTAGTTCCCTGATAATCCATTGACAATGCATGTGCTAAATATACCAAACATATCAATGAGATGTCAGTAAACTTTTACTTATGACAGTTTTGTGAAACGATGCCTAGATGTCTTAACTCATAGATTGTTATCTTCCTGTTCCAACTTCACCGTCATGCTGCCATCACATGTTTCAGCTTGTGAATTAAAGAAAAAATACCTTTAACTTGTCCAGAATTTCAGGTGTTGTCTCTATTTATGTTCAATATTATAATAGTATACAAATGAATTCTGAAAGAGAAGAGGGATAGAAAGAGAAAGATACTGAATGCCAGAGAGATAAGATTGGGAAGAAAGAGAGAGACAGAGCGATGGCAGGATAGACACAGTACATGTAGAAGGAACAAGAATCAGCTCGTGAGAGGCAGGCCTAAAAATAGAAAGAGATAGATGGAAAGAAGTACCAACAGAAAAAGACAGAGAGAAACGAACAGGGCTGATTTTGTTTAACAATACCTGCAAGACTGTCAGGCCGGATATCTCCCAGTCCCATGTCAAAGCTGTCTGTTATACTGCCCTCACTAGAGGAATCTCCACCAGGCTGATGTCCGCTGCTGCTTGAGCTAGAGGAGTCGCTTGAAGAGGCCTGGGAACCCCAGCTTGGTGCGGGCCCATCAGAGACTTCTTGCTCAACATGCCCCTCCTCTCCTGAAAGAATCAAATCAATTTAAATTTCTGATTATTTTTAATCCATGTTTCAAACACACACACACACAGATTTGGCTTAAACTGGCAGAGCAAAGACACATACCGCCAAACCAACAAGGATGCATTTACAAAACAATACAAAGAGTAATTACTGTGGATTGTGGACACTTCAGACAAAATCCAACTCCATACATGTACATGTAACTCTCAAGACAAGACAATAATGATAATTTTTGAATTTCCCTTTTTTGAACTGGTTTGTGGCATAGCTATACTGAGTCAGAGTTATTACTAATTCATACAATTTGAAGAGCCCATACGTATAAGGTAATGACAACATCTTTAAAATATTCAACACTTTTTTTGGAACGTTTTCATTTAAACTTTCACCAGTCTACTTCTCTGATTTTTCTGCTTTCCTCTGCTCTAAGAGAGTAGTTCACTTTCAAACTCAGTGTAAAAGTGCACTTTAAAGGGGGTATATTATTTAACAAGCGCTAGCGATCTGCACATGAGACTATCCGACACTGTGACGAAACATGTGTCTATGTGGTACCAAATATTCTGATAGACTAAGGGCCTAATACAGAGTTTTGGTATGGGGTCATGAATTTGGTTCAAATGAATATATTGGAAGATAAAGCTACAGTCCCATATACGTCCCGGACCGTCCCGGACCATCCCGGACCCTATCCGGGGTGATCCAGGATTCGGTCCGTGTTGACACCGTGTTGGCACCGGGGTGGTCCTGGATGGTCCTGGATGGTCCTGGATGGTCCTGGATGGTCCTGGATGGTCCTGGGCGGTCCGGGAGTCGACCCCGGATGTTTTTGACGGTCAAAAACTGCCGGGGTGGTCCGGGACGGTCCGGGACAATAGTTTGATCCGGGGTGATCCGTGTAGCCACCGTGCTGGGTCCGGGGTCATCCGTAGTGGCGCCGGGGCGGTCCGTGTTGATCCGTGGCAGTCCGGGAGTGAGTTATTGACCCCGGATCACCCCGGCGCCCCTACGGATGATCCCGGACCCAGCACGGTGGCGACACGGATCACCCTGGACCAGCACCGGGGCGTTCCGGGATGATCCGTGTTGGCACCGGGATGGTCCGGTGTCATCCGTGTTGGCACCGTGTTGGCACCAGGGTGGTCCGGGACGGTCCGTGGCGGCTCCGTGCTGGGTCTGGAATGATCTGTACTGCTGCCGGGGCTATGCCTGGACGGTCCGGGGTGGTCCGTAGTGGTACCGTGTTGGGTCCGGGGAGACGGTCGGCGGTTGCGATTTTTTGAACAAAACATCCCGGACCATCCCGGATCACCCCAGACCATGGTCCGGGATGGTCCGGAGTGGTCCGTGCTCGTCCGTGCTGGTCCGGCTTTATATGGGACTGGGGCTTATGCGATTTTACAATATTCAATGATCGTTGTCGCAGTTTTAAATCAAGTCCAAAGTGATGAAATTTTAAATATAAACTCTTTATATTGTATAGCTCTCTGGTTCTGGTTCTGGATTTTACTCCGACAAAGCGGGATCCCGCATCGCGTCAGAGGGCTGACCTGGGGGTTGACCTGGTGGAATTATTTCCGATTGGTGTTTGTGAAAAAATCGCAGAGCCTTTTCTTAAAAATGTCTATGTTTGGGGCGTCCAGGATGTCATGAGGGCGGTCGTTCCAATATTTAACAATCCATGGGAAGAAGCTATTTGAGTAAATTGTTGTTAAATTGTTCTCTCTCAGAATTGATATTACTTTAGCTTCAAAACAATTTTTCTTGACTATAATCGACCGATTTGCTAATGCTATTCCCGTTCGGAAATTATGTATCAAAAATGCATATTCTGAGATTTCCAATGGAATGACCTTAGGAGCTATTTGAAACATTTGAAATTTAACGGGAGCACCGATCATTTTTTATTTATTCAATTTCTCGAAAGCAGAAATGTTTTACTTTTATTTTAGGGGCTAAATTTTCTAGTGCTTAATTCATCCACAGGGCCATCCAAATATATCAAAATGTTAAAGAATTACTAGATCTAGGTTCAATATCCAACCAATTTTCAAAATTTCCAAAAAATGTCCATTTAATATTTATTGGAAAAATGTTCAGTCTCGACTCTTGAATGAAACGCCAGTCCAGTGTAGGGTAGAGTGCCCAGTATTCGGTCACTTAAGGGGAAATCACTAATATTTTGAATTCTTACCTCTTTTATTTGGCAATATACCCATCAAAAGAAAAGAAATTTATTCCTCTAACAGGATTTTATAGTCACTTAAAATATAGAATAATGATAAGCAAAATACTTCCGAAAGAAGACGGAGCATTTTTCTGCCCAGAATTCGGTCGCGCCGATTAGAATTCGGTCACGCGATTTGTGCGTGGTATCTCCGTTGCCAAAGATAGGCACATTTATGGGGCACTAGAGGGCGCTTCGGTCGCGTACGAAAATCTGAATGGCCTTGCTGCGGTGGGTCGGCAATAATCAGCCCAAAACTGGGATATGGGAGGTTGGAAGGATATATCTTTTTTATAATCTTATCCGGTCTTACCCTTAACCATCCTATGTTTAATCTATGTAGGAATAACATGCGAGCCGAGTATGATAAGAGAAACATCGGGACCATTACTGAAGTGACTTTTAAAATATTAGCCTAGAAATGACCACCAAACGGAAAAAATTGACATTTTTCCCCGACAAATCTTCATAAAATCTGAGTTATAAACAATTCACATCTAGGTACACTAATACAAATACGATTTTCTGAAAATTCAGGTATGATTTTTTAAGTTTCTTTCAAGTATATTTCTGCGCATTGCAGCGCCAATATTCTTCACTGCTTCAAAATCACCCTTGATTTTTTTTTTTGCAACGAATTTGATACGAGGTCCGCGAGTGTTCCCCGTTCCTTGCGTGTTGAAAGTTTGGTAATACATAGTTTGCATTGACTCGCGCACGAAAAAATGGTCAAAAACAAAATGTCAAATGAAGAAATAAACAAGCTTTTGTATAGTTATAAGAATTCTACCGAGGTTTCTTTGTCGATTTAATTTATTATATAGTCTCAATTAGAATTCAGAATTATCTCACTGAAAAGTTAAGATACCGATGATGTTCTCGATCGTAGTTATTTTCATTTTGCCAGCAGCCGATCTAGCGTTGTTTGGGCAAAAAGTTAGGCCACTGCCTTCCCACCGCGAACCTTTCCGAGTCCCGCTAAAATGGCGCGCTGCGGAGCTCCGAAGCTGCGTTGGTATCGCTGCAAACTCTCGGCCGGCTAGCTCCCCACGACGGACCATTCGCGGTATGGTGAGAGTGTGTGTGTGAGGTATGATTTTGGATTCGAGAACGCACGTAACGCAACCGTGCGCGTCATTTAGAGCTGTCGAATGTGTACGACCAATTTTACATGTACGATTTTTAGTACAGATACTTGGTCAGTTTTCTTCTTATATCTTTGGTTTTACAACATTTAAAAATATAATTTCTTCAAATCTGCTCCTGACTCGGTTCAGACTAATTGTCTGATGTGTTTTCAAGTCAATTTTTTGAATATATTTTTTTGCATGAATTTGCCTACCAAAGAGCGAAGCGTATTTGCGCACTATTTTCACACAATTGCGCGATAAAGCACTGAATGTCAATGCGTTGACCGAATACTGGCCGAGCGATACCGCATGGCAAGGGTATCGTATAAATACCTCTCGCACATCGGCAAATGCGTCATTTGCAAATTCACTGCGATGGAGTGAACACGGAAGTGATTCTCTTCACACACATACTAAATTCATTGCGACAGCACACGCAGTTGTTTCGCAATAGACTTCTACATATGGCTATGCATGTTAGCGCATGTGCTAAGAGAACGCAGAAGTGCAGAAAGTCTTGCGACACTGACCAATTTTGAGCTAAGTTGGAGATCTTTCTGGGGCCCTAAATCTGATTTAATTTTGAGAGTTAAGAAAAGTTGTTCAGCTGCCTGATCTGTGCAAGTTTCGTCGCTCTTTAATTATTTTTTAAATTGTTACAGCTGTTGAAACGGCTGTCTGACCGAATACTGGGAATTGACCGAATACTGGGCACGCTACCCTAGATCTAGAGTAAAGGAGCCCGTAATCGGCCAGCTCCCGTTTTCGGCCGATTGGTTGGATGCAAGGTAAAATCACTCTAAAATACATCGCATAATAGCATAACACATATCCCACACATACCATACCATGCCAGTGTCACTGAAGAACCACATTTGCAATGGAAAATATATCCTAAAATATCACATTTTAGCGATGTAATCGCCGGTCCCGCTACCCAAATCTGAAAAATCGAGTATCTTACGCGTGTCTGTAAGAAATAAGGGTACCATAAAATGAGCTTTATTTCAAGTATTTTTCAGATTTAAAGCCCGATTTTGTGCTAGTCGCAAGCTCAAAAGTATCTCATCGCATGTATTAAATCAATGCAGCCGCACACCGCGACGCACACACGATATCTCTGTCTAATTCAGATTCCAACTTCCGATCACCGCTGTGCCCGTCTTCGGCCAGGCGAGCACCAGGGAGCTCCGGCGTGGGATACCTGCTCCGCCCGCTTGTGCTGTACATCAGCGCGGAAACGCACGGCGCGCGCGAGCGCTTCCTATTGACTTTGTACATGCGGCCGTAAACTGAAACGCTCGGCCGATAACGGGCTCCAAAACAGTGAAAATTGAAATGAATATTGTCATGGCAATTCGTGATTTTTTTTCTGGGATTCTTTTTTTGTTTAAATAATAATAATATTTGCTTCATGATTTGAACAAAAAATGATAATAAATAGGAAGTAAAGGGTCCTAAAAAAAGGATTTTGTCTTAAGTGGCCGAAAACAGGCTCCTTTAGGCTTTACTATAATTTATAAATAAAAAAAAATATATAAAACTTAACAAGTTAGGGTAGATCTAGATCTACTTCTAAGAAAAGGGGGAAAAGCAAAACTGGAGGCTAGATGCACCATTGTCAATTCGATGGACGGTCTAAATATTCTGGAACCCCCATCAATCGGACTGAGGCCCAAGCCCCCGCGCCCCCACCACAGCACAGCAGTTGAGATTAGACCGACGTCAGCTGTAGCGCAGCTCCGCTCAGCTTAGGCTAGTGTACTACTCTCCGCCACGGTACAATCGGAACGGTCTCCCAACACGGCCTCGGTATGGTAGCTCACAGACACACACACCATACACAGACGTAGACACATACCGTACGAACGGAAGCGATTGCCCACACACAGGGCGCGGGCCCAACATACACAACAGGACTTCAATACAACCATTATTCTTCCACTTTCGTAAGAAAAATATGAATAGTAAATACATGAAAATGTACATTAGAATCCTCACCATTCAAATCTTTCAGAGAATCGGAATTTTCGACACACTGTCGTTTGAAAAACAGATCATCGATGGCCTCTTCCTGTTTGCGTTTTTCAGCCATGTTGGGTTTTTAATGCAATTAGAAGGTGCATGATGGGAAGGATAGGGCTTCATTGAATTAGTCTAAATATTCAGACATAACAGTACTATACTCTGGAGCACACATTTCTGGAGGCACTTTTTTGTTGGTGTCTTTTAAGTTTATCTCTTATATACAGTAGGCCCAGGGGCGTCGCTAAAGGGGGGGGGGGTGTGGGGGTGCGACCCCCCCCCCACCTATCAGGATATTGTCGGTAAAATTGCGCTGCTGTCGGGAAAAATGAGAAAAGCCGGGGGAGGGGGAAAGGGAAGGAAAAGAAAAAAGAAAAGGAAAAGAAAGAAAAGAAAGGAAAGAGAAGAAAGAAAGAAAGAGAAAAAAGAAAAAGAGGGAGGAGAGGAAAGAAAGGAAAAGAAAGAAAAGAAAGAAAAGGAAAAAGGAAAAAAAAAGAGAAAAAGGAAACAAAAGAAACTGGCGATGAAAGAGGGGAGAGAGAGAGGGGGCGGGGGGGTAAGAGCCTGAGAGGAGAGGGGTGGGAATAAGAGAGGGAGGGGATGTTGGGTGGAGTCGCCACGTCGAGGGAGCAAGAAAGATACGCCAAGATAATTATGTTGCTGTGTCGGGTCCGCTGTGTCGATATTCTTGCTCGACCAAGGGTGTCGATTTGTATCCTCGGTTGGGGGGGGGGGGGGGGGGGGGTGATAGGTGCCAAAATATTTTCGGCAATGGATCAAAGCAACCAAGAGGTAGAGGCGTGTGGCAGGTTGCCCCCCCCCCCTCCCTTCCAAGTTTTTAACTTTTTCAAGTCACCCTCAATAAAGATAACATTCTAGAGAATATAGGACCCATGTGTGTCCCACATGCTTGCTACCTGGGTTATTATCCTCTTAAGCATATAGGCAGGATTTTATTTTAGGGGCCGGTAGTGAGCACCTCCTAGGGGGTGGGTGGAGGGAGGGGGAGTTTCTGACGTTTCATTAAATTATTAAAGAAAGAAGACTATTCGTTGTACCATTCTCGACTCTTAATCCTTGTCTGAATTCAGTTCCTCCCCACCCCCCCCCCCCCCCTTCCCGCGCGAAGCGCGGAAGCTTTGACGTTTCATTAAATTATGAGAGAAAGAAGACGATTCGTTGTACCATTCTCGACTCTTATACCTTGCTGAATTCAGTCCCCTCCCCCCCCCCCTTTTTCGCGCGAAGCGCGGAAGCTTTGATGTTTCATTAAATTATTAGAGAAAGGAAGACGATTCGTTGTACCGTTCTCGACTCTCAATCCTTTTTCTTCCTATGTCCTCTTCCTTTCTTCTTTCTTTCTCTTTTTTTTTGGGGGGGGGGGGAGTAGGGGACCACCCCCACCACCCCCTGGATATGCGCCTGTATCCTCTCTGTCTCTCATTATCTCTCTCTCCCACTCTCTTCTTCTTTTTTGCACTTTTGCGCTTCGCGCTTAACATTTACTAAGCTCGTTGCTTTTTAACGCTGCGGCTTTGCATTTGACGCATTGCATTTATATGATGCTGTTGATTGAATAAATTGAATAAATTCATCAATTCCTGATGAAGCCGTATGAGCGAGAATTCAATTTATTCTTGTCTCATATACGGTCGTCTCATTTACTTCGTATCCTATTTATATATGTATGTATTATGAAAATGAGATAGCAAAATGTGTATATTGATGGTCATCTTGCGAGTAATAACCATTAACTACTCTCATCGGGCTCTCATCATTTTTATTTTTTTTTGATGGTGAATTATTGGGGGGGGGGGATGATTGAACAGGCCATCCCCCCCACCTGAAATATTGGGGGGGGGGGGTATATCCCCCCCTACCCCCCCCCCCCCCGGGATCGACACCCATGTGCTCGACCCTCGTGTATATCAGTGCAAAAGTTTTAAGTCGTGAGATGTATTATTTCGGTCGGCAAGGAATTTTTTTCCCTACGAACTGTGACTTTTTATCGGACAAATAAACATTTGTGAAAATTCAGACAACTAGTCAGAACAACGAATCTTCTACTTTCTCTAATAATATAATGAAACGTCAAAGCTTCCGCGCTTTGCGCGGGAGGGGGGCACTGAATTCAGACAAGGATTAAAGGCACACTGTCCTACTTGTAGCTACTTGCTCCCTCTATGTAGAAAACTTCCCCAATCGGTGCCTGTTGGTCCCCCATGATCCTCTTTTTCTTATGTTAAATGAAAGCTGAGTTAATGAGATAGCCACCTGTCACAGTGACCTCGCTGGCTCGCTGTGTAGTCTAATCCCTTCTGGCTGAAGTAGTAAAGCCTGCCTTTAAGAGTAGAGAACGGTACAACGAATCGTCTTCTTTCTCTAATAATTTAATGGAACGTCAAAGCTTCCGCGCTTTGCGCCCGGGAGGGGTAAAACTGAAACAAACAAGGATTTATAAGAGTCAAAAACAGTACAACGAATCGTCTTCTTTTTCAAATAATTAAATGAAACCTCAAAGTTTCCGCGCTTCGCGAGGGAAGAAACTGAATTCAGACAAGGATAAAGAGTGGAGTACGTTACAACCATAGCGAGTCGTCTTCTTTCTCTAATAATTTTATGAAACGTCAGAGCGCCGCAGGGGGGAACCTCGAGAAGAAAAAAACATAATTGGCACTAATATATTTGTCGGTAATTGTGGCTAGTTTTGTCGATAATCGGTGGCCTCTACACCCCCCCCCCCCCCCACTGAAACAGGTCTAGCTACGCCGCTGAGTAGGCCTACTTATTTTTTTATCTTTCTCATTTCGTTTGTGAATTCATTTGCTTTATACTTCATGACCAAAACTCTAATGTCCCAATGATTAGCTCATGATTTCTATTTGTAGCAGGGCGTAAATCCCGGGGGGATGGGGGGGGGGGGCTGCACCCCCCTAGCTCGAAGCACACCCCCTCCCCCAATTTCAGGTTAGCTCTAGTCGATCGAGGGGGACTGGGGGCCAATGTTTTTACTTTTCAAAATGAAATAATCCTGAATAAGCTTTCAAAGCTAGCAGGAATTTGATCCCGGGATTTGATCAATTTTTCTATGATATTCAAAATATTTTATAACCTCCTCTTTACATTTCTCAGAAGTCCAAAGAGAGAGAGAAAAAAAACCACCCCTTTTTTCTTTCTCTAATGATTTAATGAAACGTAAAAGCTTCCGCGCTTCGCGCGGGAGGGGGGGGGGGGAAGGAAAAACTGAATTCGGATGAGGATTTAGAGTCGAGAACGGTACAACGAATCGTCTTCTTTCTCTAATGATTTAATGAAACGTAAAAGCTTCCGCGCTTTGCGGAGGAGGGAGGGGGAAATCGCCCCTCCCTGCCCCCCCCTCATTACGCCAATGCTGGTCACTATTACGTACCAGTATTTGGCTCGCATAATTTCAAATTTGCCCCCCCCCCCTCCCCCTAAGAAATCCTGGATCCGCGCCTGTCCTAGGCTTTCCAGAAAGGACTCAGAATTGTGTATTTGGTCATAGATCAATGTTTTTTAAGTTAATTCTCCTTTAAGAGAAAACAAGGAACATGACTTACAATGCGCTTCCTCCCCCAATAAAACATTTGTGTCGATGTTCCTGTGGTAATACCATTATACATCATTTTCTAAGTGATGGGACTCAAAATAAAGAGTTCGCATCTTCCTGACGAAATACTCAATCTTTATGTTACTACTTGAAAGTGTGTCCAATTCTTTTACTTTATGGTTGTCAAATTTGGCATGTGCGTGCATATGTATGCATGTATAAATTTATGTACATGTGTTTGGGTACGTGTGTGTTTGTTGTTTGTTCGTGTGTGTGTGCGTGTGCGTGTGTGTGTGTGTGTGCGTGTGTGCGTTTGTGTGTGTGTGTGTGTGCGTACGCCAGCAACCGCGGACCACTCCATAGAAAACTACCTCAGACCGCGGACGTACCTGCAATGGGGGACCGTCCACGGTTGCGATATCGGTTCCGCCGTATCAAATTTACGACGTAGGGGGCGTTTGAATATTAGATGTCACAGCGTGTAGGCAACATCGACTGGATCAGTCCGATGTGTATCGCGAAATGTCACAGCGCCCCCTTTTGACTGCGCGGGAGAGGCGCTCGCTACCTGGATCATCCTATAGGAGGTACGTCCGCGGTTTGATGTAGTTTTCTATGGAGTGGTCCGCGGTTGCTGGTGATTACCTACGCACACACACACAAGTACTAAACTTGGTCCACGGTTGACAGCATTTCCCTGTACGTGTGTGTGTGTGTGCGTGTGTGTTGTGTGTTTGTGCGTGCGCGATCGCGCGCGCTTGCGTAAATTAGTGTGGGCGTGTGCTCGTGCTAGTATGTGATGGCTATCGCCGATCATCCCCCCCCCCCTACTCCTCGGTACGGATTTACGCCCCTGATTTGTAGTCATATCGGGCTCAAATCCCGTAAAGGAATGATAAAACAATGTTAGGGCTCAGGTTGAAATAAAAAGAAATTTTCTCGTTATTACTCGCATTGGAATGGCATGAATTTTTATTGACGACGCGCTCCAATGGACAAATGTACATTGATTTAACCTGCATTCAGGTGTCTTAGTCATTGGTCTAATGGATTGTTGCCGAAGTTAATCAAAACAATAAAATATATTACAACATTCTAACGAGGTGAATGAGAGCATTATACAAAAGACTTGTAATTAAAAGCAAATGGTCCCATTAAAGCAGCAGCAGCAGCAGTAGGCGTAGGTTGTAGCCTAGGCCACAGTAATATATAAAGTTGTCCTTTATTTTCCTCTTAAAATGAGCAAAGATTTCTATTTCCTTTATATCATTAGGAAGGGAATTCCACATTGTTCTGGCAATGTTATATCGAATGTTCATTACTAGTTGAATCGGCTATTTTTTGTATTATAATCCATTGTAAGTCAGTAACAAGATCGAAGTTGGAGACTGTTAATAGAAAAGGCTATTCCTGGCACTCTTACAAAGGTATTGCTATTTAGGACTTCGTTAGAGTACATGTCGACTTGGTGAGAAATAAATAGATAATAATTAATTATT